CACGTGCTTTACTTTGCGAAGTGAGCTAATGTTTTCGTTCCCTTTTTTTCGCTGAAGCATCGGACATGCCAGTTTTATTGCTGTTTCTTGCTTCCAGCTCATCATTAATTTCTCTCCAATACTCTCAACGGTGTGTCAATATTTTACTTACATCTACATGCGACCACGATTTATCATTTCTATGGGACCAGTCCTCCCTGAAAACTCAGAATTATGCTGGGTTTCTTCAGATTTTCAAGGTCGTGGAGTTATTTGTGCTGGGACCACGCCTGATCCTTGGCGTTCGAGAATATTACGCTACGCTTGTCGCCGAATCCGACGCAGCAATCGGCATGACCTCAATTGCTTTCCAGGAGCGTGTGCATATATCGACTGGCAGTTGTGTATAATGCTTGGTGAAGTTAGCGGTTGTCTAGTAGTGCTTTACAAGGAGCGGGGGAACTCACTTTTATTTATTCCCACTTTCATGACAGTATCGATTAAGTTTATTTGGTGGATCAGATCATCAGTGTCAGACTCCGGATGATGCGCTTCACCCTGCGCAATACGGGATGATCGGCCATGTTTGTCTCGCGAGCGTCAAGCAGCGCTTTGTCCTCGTTTGCTGTCTCTGTCTTCATGGATTCTCTCAAGGAGTTGTGCAGGCTGCGACTTGGCTACGGAGGATTTGTGGTAGCTCAATGTGTGTTTGTCATCGTGCTCGCCGTCACGGATAGATCCATATCTTGGGACAGGCGCCGCAATAGTACGAAAAGTAGAAATCAACCTTGAAACAACACCTGCAGTGGATATATGCGCGTCTTTGAGACCAGACATGTCTCCTCTCCTCGGATAGATGCAGATTTTGCCATAGGTGATATAGGTTGAACAAAAGATGTGCTAGGATTGGATGATGGAAGAAAAGATGAGCCCTTTCCACAGAACAGAAGACTAGACCTGCATCGGGGCGTGCGCTAAGGATTGCATATCAGTATGATAAATACCGCTGAAACGCCCCGATGCGCTAGAGAACGATGCGCTTATGTCCAGTTGATTGATGATCCCCGGAGCTAAGTTTGCAAGCGAGTTTGTGCTTCCTGAATATGCCGGCCTGGCGAACCCTCTTCTCCAAGTCTGTCTTGGATTACATTGAGTCAAGTACATTCTGGATACCACCAGTACGTTGGGGCTGGCCTCAGGAAATCTGGTTACGGAGCGGTATATCAAATGGGTATTCAGCGTCTGCATGGCTACTAGAAGCATGAGATGCTAAACGAGGAACAAACAACTGGCGGGCGTTCATGGCTATCGCTGTTCGATGTGAATTAAAAAAAGGATCTCAACAAACTCGCGGCCTACCCGGACTGCCAAAACTTCCCTGCGAGCATAAAGCTCAATGTCTCATCTCGTCCCTAGGTCATCTATGGCTTCACGCACATTATCTTGCCGGAAAGGCTATCCGTATCATCAGGATATGATGAGCGCAAAATATTTGATTTGTATCATGGAGTGGGTGCAGTAGTGAGAGACATCAGGATTCATCAGAGATGTCCTGGTTGACTCGGAGATTCCATGATTGAGTCGGATACAACATCACCCCTAGATCAACTTGAAGAGAGCGCTGAGAGAGAATATGAGAGAAGACGTTGCACACATGCACGATAGCTGAAGACGGTAACATTCTGTTGATACATCATCAGAGAATCAGAAATTGAAGGAATAAGTCACCCGTGCCATAGTACCGTACTGCCAATGCACACCATCAACGCTTATTCCAATAAAAACCAATCCAAAACGTACCACATTAGATCCATCATGCAGTTAGAGTCAAGGTCTTCTTCTGTTGACTCGCGCCTTTGCACGGTAGCCTGGGTGGAAATGTGGGTTGGAACGCCATCTTTATTTCGCATGAACCAACTCGCCGTGACGGCCGAGACTACATCGACACGCCAGAACTTCGACTAACAATCAAGGTCTGAGAACGCAGAGAATGCACAGCGTGCGGATCTTTCTGGTGCTTGTTGATGGGCAAATTGATGCCCACACTGGTTCCGAAATGAACTTCGTGTGAAAAATTGACGGTCCTTTCAGTGGCGTTTGCAGTCCTCGCTTGAGACTGCAAACTTGTCACGTGACGACTCAGCCACAGCGCTCGCCTTCCTTTCACATCGGGGTGAACGATATTTAAAAGAGGTTTATATGTTGTACAAAATGTGAAAACAATATTTGATATTTAAACTAACATAAAGATGGGTGCACGACTTCAAATTTTGGTGGTGTTTTGTGCGTCATCCAAAATATCAAATATTCACAACCATATTCCCACAGACAATATGTCAACAAATATAATAAATATAATCAGATTTTCCATGTCTGCTTCAATTTAAAGTTTGATTCTTACATAAAACTTTGGAGAAAACTTGAAGTTTTGCCAAAGCTTGACATTTAAATCGAGTTTTAATGTCATGTCATCTGTAAAACTTCAAGTTTTCTCCAAAGTTTTACATGGAAATTGAACTTTAAGTTGAAGCAGACATGAAAAATCTGACTATATTTCTTATGTTTGTTGACATATTGTCTGTGGGAATATGGTTGTGAATATTTGATATTTTGGATTACACACAAAACACCACCAAAATTTGAAGTCGTGCACCCATCTTTATGTTAGTTTAAATATTAAATATTGTCTTCACATTTTGTACAACATATAAACCTCTTTTAAATATCGTTCACCCCGATATGTTTCTAAGTTTCTTGCGCTCGTTTTTGCCAATACCGTTCCACGTGCGCCTGGACCTCGACCACCGACGATCGACACCGATCGACGTCTCGCGGATCAAAAAGCAGCCCGAGAAATGGAACGACCGACGTCGTTGACTGCCTCCAAGGCACCTGCAAAAACCACTGACAAAGAAGCAGGTGGACCTTGATACGGGGTTCTCGATTCTCGATCTCCAACAAGGCCAATCTCATATGATATCTTTGAGCGCGTCGGCACGTCATCCTACCTCTACATCAACTTCGTCATGGGTCTAATTTGGCCGCAGTGTTTGAGGCAGGTGCACCCTGATATGTGCCCATCTCCAATGGGACCGTGGCCATCCTGAACTCGTTTGTCAACGACATCTTCGAGCGCATTGGTACGTCCTCCTACTTCTTCGTCGCGGGTCTATAACCTTTGTCGCAGTGTTCAGGCAGGTGCACCCTGATATGTGCCCATCTCCAATGGGACCGTGGCCATCCTGAACTCGTTTGTCAACGACATCTTCGAGCGCATTGGTACGTCCTCCTACTTCTTCGTCGCGGGTCTAACCTTTGTTGCAGTGTTGAGGCAGGTGCACCCTGATACCGGGGATCTCCAATGGGGCCACGGCCATCTTGAACTCGTTTGTTCAAACGATATCTTCGTGCGCACCTGTGCACCCTGACAGACTGAAGAAAGTCGCCGCAGATCCAATTGGATTTAGGTATGAACTTCTATTGGACGAGTTTTCTCAATTTTCACTTACTATCGAATTATAGGGAATTGTTTTGTCACAAACGATATTCTTCGTGCGCACCTGTGCACCCTGACAGATGGGCATATCCAATGGGCCACGGCTGTCGGATAAACCACGAGTAGATGGGTCTGCCCCCAATGCACGGCATTTTTTATATCACCACTTATTCACTAGTTGAGACACGACGAGAACATGTATTGTAAGTATCTAGTTAACCACAATGACAAGTTCTTCCGCAGCTATAGCAAGGGTCACAGCCTGGCCTGTTTGGGTTCATGTAATGTTCGCGAGCCTCTGCTGGATTGTCGTTCCAAGACAAGAGGTACTTGAATATGGTACCAGGGTTGTCGAAATTCTCAGCCCACCCACCCCAGTCGCAGATCTTCCGAAATGACCAGCCTCGCACCGTGTGCAGAAATTGACACCCGCCGCGACGAAACGAGTGGGTACCGTATGGACGCGGATCAACACTTATGTCGAGGAGATTGTTCCGGAAGCATTCGAGGAAGGAGTCCGAGGTCTGAGTATAACATATCAACCTTAATTCTCTTGATGACTACTAACCTTGAGCTCACCATGCAGTCCGTCGGGCTCACACTAATGCTGTCCACACCAATCTTTTTGCGAAAGATGAACCCATTGAGTTCTCTGTGTCTCTCGTGAGCTATTAGCCACCAGATAGCGAATGCTCGCAGCAAGCACATCCACGGTCGGTCAGGATCAGCGTAGATGTAAAATGGGGCTATGCCTATGGGTTCGAGGTTAGCCGTAAGGTGGGCAACAGCCCATACAGTCACTGACCTCCATACTGATGTGTCTTTCGAAATGGTAATTCTAGCTTCACTCGAAACTGTGCAGGTTGGTAGCTGACCTGTGACGTGAAAAGCTCGGGAGTCGCATCAAGCCAGTGGTTTTTTATCAGCAAGTCCTGAACCTGGAATGTGACATCGGCCCAGGTGATCCGCAATGCTTCGTCGTAGCGGAGCAGGCAAAGCATGGAGAGAAGGTAGAGTAAATAAAGCATCTCGTGGAGCAAAAATCCAGCCCATTCAGAAGGATTTTCTGCCTTTCGTTTGCGTGAGATCGGGCCAAATTCTTTTCGGTCTGTGGACCATGCAAATTCCCAGAGCCTCTTCATGGTAGGTTCATCCATCGCGCGAGCACTCATTACTGCTTCGCCTGCTCGGATCTATAGCGTGAAATCAGCACCAACACCAATTTTCATGATGCTAAAGTCCAATACCTTTCGCCGATGAAGACTGACCATATACTGTGAAATCGTCACCGAAAGTGAGGGGTTTCCGATGAATCTGCCTGGCATAGCTGGGTGCTCCAGCCATGGCTGTGTTCCGAGCTGGTAGTCTCTGCCAAATTTGTGGCTTATGGCGGCACGCATCTTCTGTGCTGTGCCATACGTTGCACGTGGAACACTGGGATCCTTTGCTTTCCTGGTCCATATATCGTTTTCATCGCATCTCGATTCCATAGCTTAGCACGAAATAAACACAACATTTGATGCACTCACTTATCCATGATCCATAGTGCGATCCACGTTGGAAATTCAGCTGGAAGGTTCGGAAAAAGATTGTCAATCTCGCTCGCAACTTGTGCTTTGTCAATGGTGACACAAAATTCTTTAAACTGATTCCAGTATCTGGAGAGATCACACGCGTGAGATTCGAGAAATTTTCGCTGGTCCCATGCCATACCTCTGGTAGTCGGAGAGTGTTGTACCAATAACCACTCCCTCTGATGCTGCCTGCAAACTAGATGCTAACTGGTTGTTGCTGTGTTTAGGCTTCTTCTTTTTCACATTGTCCTCGCCACCAGCAGTGTTTGTAGTACTGAACCGAAGGGTGCCGGCAGCTTCACAGTCATCAACATCAAAGCTGTTGAGGAGAGATTCCTCCTCCTCGGTCTGATCCTCTTCTGCAGCCTCAATACTGATGCGTTTTGACTCAGTAAAGTATAAATCAGCACCTTTGAAGGCATGTAGTAGGGACTCGGACATGATAGAAAATTTGGGTTCAGAGTCTAGACCAAGTGATCGAGAATTGAAACACTCGGCCGGCACGGAAACAAACTAACTTGAATGCCCTGATTCAATTTGAACATTGAAACTGACACGTAAATACATTACCATTACAGTTCATGGTGTCACCATGTCTCAACATCACTCAGAGTCAGAAGAGCTCGAACTGCCCGTACTTGGTCAAATGTACACACCAGGACAAGCAGTTGAATCTTTCATTTGGACAGTGTATGTCACACATTTCTCCCCCTTTCAGCATGTTTGATTTAATTCATGAAAATACAACAGAACAGCGAAGACAACGAAGGCTAACTTACACGAGAAGCTCAAGAGCTATGACAGGCCAACCTGTGGCAATCGCATGGAGATGTTGGACAGACTTCGTCAGTTTTCCAATGACCGAGACGAGTGGCTGAGGTGTGTCACCGGCGTGTGTGCTGAATCAGTGCTCGTGTACCTAATTCTTGGTAAAGCTTATTCAGGCCTAAGTTGAAACGGAAACGAGGGGAACATGCCTCACGCCAATCCCTTTCGAAACGAAGGATTGAGGAGGTGTTTGGAATCGAAGAACAAACAATTACGTACAAAAGCAAGAAGAGCGCAAATCGCACGCAACGGGCACTCCAGGATGACGACCAAGCTGCAAATTCAGCATGGGTGAGCAGAAGTGTGTCATACCATTGAAGCCTATAATAATATTGTCAAAAAGGCACATGCAGTGCTGTCAGCGTTCGGTATGCCTCACGATTTGAGTGTACCTCCGATAACGCAGCGAAAAAGCTGCCACCAACAAATTGCCTTGACAACCGAAGCTGAAGAATGTCCGCAACAGGATGCTTTTGCTGTTCGTATGCGGAAAGTGGATTCCAACATGTCATCTGTGCGAGAGGACCTCAGTAATGTCGAAAATCACATCAGTGTTCTCACATCGCACATTCTCGATATGAAAACACTGATGAAATCAAAAGATAAAGATACACGCACGTTACACATGGAGACTCGAAGCTCTGGGTGCCATAACACAGTTGTCCAGTCCCATGCAGAAGCATGCATTGTCAGCAACAACGCGCCGTCCAAACCTCGCACAATGATGCAGACAGCATCCATGTCTCTGCCTCCAGAGGTAATCCCCCCCAAAAACCTTGGAATCGCGCACCTTGGCCAAGAGCAGTTTTCGTATGACAGGACAACTGTGCCGTCACCTCCTACAGTCCACCTCTCGAAAGATATCAACCAGCTGTGTGAAGAATGGGAGGAATCAAACTTACTTGTTGTCAACGGTCGTGGAATCCCTGTCAAGTATTGGGGTGAGTTCTACAAGAAAGGAAAGGGTGTCAAGACTGCAGCATGGGATGCACTTCGAGTAGAATGGGGAAATTGGAAGGTATGATTGATCTCCAGCGAGTCACACATGCTATCTGACTGTTCATTTGTCTTCAAGTTCATTGCTGAAGAACGGCAGCGATACCCAGACAACACCTCGTTCTGGCGTGCATTCAGTGATGAGAATAGTAAGATTTTTTCTTACCAACAGATCCTGAACCGTCTTGCAGAGCACCGAGTCTCTGCTGCTGCCCGAGACGCTAAAGATGCACGCGATTTTTTTGGTGGCAACCTCAACCACCCACTGGCCCGTGGTGCCTTTTGCTACACAAAAGGTGGCAGGGCTTACTTGTCGAGCAAGGACGACGCCGTTGCAAAAAAGTGGCGCGAGCTTCTGACGACACGTCCTGACATTGTCGAACAACGGACACGCCAAATCTTCGGTGGACCACAACCCTGAGGAGCAGGTTTCTTGATCATAAGTAAGGTAGCTTCGATGTTCACTCAGGCATTTGTCCAGTAGTTCATTAACAGTAAATTTTTCTAATCTACTACTGTACACACAAGTATGCGCTACATAATCTAGTTATTTTGTCTCCACACCTGCGGCCCCAACTGTTGCGCCCGAAGATGTTGTTGACAAGGGGCCATGCTTTCTCCGATACCGAGGGCAGTGGTCGTAGATAACTTGGCACAGTTAGATGCTAAACCAAGCCATTCAAGGTTTTCACGAAGGAACACATCGGAAGTTGTTCCAGTGTGCATGAAGGTGTTCTGCAGAGTGACTGAGGTATGATATATAGACGTCCGGGCCTCGAGAACGTCCTGGCGACAAATATTAATGACAATTTAATCTATAACGAGAATACTCACTTTCGTGTTCCTCAGAACCAGCATATCTACCTTATTGCTGTGCTTCAAGAATTCCAGGTATAGTTTGACAGACTCTTGCCCATCCAGAATTTTACGGAGCTTGTCGTATATGTCTTGGATTTCCTAGAGACAAAAATAATATATTACTAGCATGTAGATACCAATACTCGACTTTGATGATGGCTTATGGTGCGCCATGTGCCAGGACGTGCGTGAGATGACCGTCGTCCACAGAATATTGACAGTGGAGCTAACTGCATGAATTAGGATGGGATGTCAGGAGAGCCCATCACACAGGCTCGTGTTTTGGGATGATGATGTCAATGCTATACAAGCTGCGCGATACTAAATACATGGGGGAAGGGGGCACTAGATACAGTAGGTTGAAAAATAACAAGTGTATCAGAGAGTAAGATCGATAAAGTTATGACTGGCACCGGCGCTCCAGGGCACTACATCATCCCCATCTTGAGTGAGGTCCATGACATCACTGACCGCCACTGCTTCGTCATCGCGCGTGAGATCAATGACACCGGTCGCAGAAGAGAGAGTAGCGTTTGAGGTGCTGGGATGATTCGGAGACTGCAGAATCATTGTCTGCACCCAGGAATCGTAAATTTTGTCGGTGAGCCAAACTCAAACGTATCTGTGAGATCGCGGTGCACGATCCTCACAATGAGAGCAGCCAGGTGAATCCTCGAGCAACTGGAGTGTGGACTGCTCGAGGTCATGAGTGGGCACATCGTTATTGTGCCCTGGAACACCTGCAAGGGCTTTTTTCGGGCGCACAGCATGGCTCTGAAACACTGCCCTCGTGCAGGCAGGAGCAAGGGCAATCTGTACCTGACATTAATCAAAATATTCCACGCAGAGGAGAACGGCGACAAACCTCATCACTTGCAGGAGAATTATTAGCCAGGTCCTCGAGGACTTCATTCAAGACCACGACAGGCCAGATCGTCGAGCGAAAGGTGCTAACGACCTTCTTCGATTCCCAGCCAAGAAGCTGTTGAACAAGCGAGGCAAGTGGAGCAATGTCGGGCGGGGCAGGGGATTGGAGAATAGGCAGCTTGGTGATTGCAGTGACAGTAGGGCGTGCATACAAGTTGACAACATGTGGATCAGGGAATGAGTCAGGGAGCGAGCGTGCAAGAGTAGGATGAGAACGTCCCATTTTTCCAGTGGGGTCATCCACAAGATGATACCGAGCGGCATCCCGCCACCGTTGCAGAGGCCCATCAAGGCTGTTGCCACACATGGCAGTGCGAAGCACACCAGCATCCACGCAGCGAGCCAGGCCAAGCGCCGTTTCACGACCACACCCCACCAGGCCCTTCTGGAAAGCAGGTCTCGTCAGCCAGGCTGGCAGCAGACTGGTTCAGCTTACCTTGTCGTAATCGCCGCCGCAGCATATGGCAAGGGTGAGGAATCCATCGCCAGTAAGATGGCAGTCCACGTGCTCTTGAATCGCACTCGCTGTATATAGTTTGACCATCGAATCAATTGAAAACGTCGAACTTGAAATGGATCAGAGCATGCAAATGAGAGAACGAGAGAGAACTTACTTGCGCAGGACAGTGTGAGCACCAAAAACAAATGCGTCGCTGTCGTCCGTCATGACAGCGTCAATAACACCGGCACCATTCATCTGCGCCAGCTGCACCTCGGCTTCTCCAGCAGCCTGCCAGTAGATAGATCTAAGTGAAAAGTGTGAATAAAAAATAATAAGAAAAAAACGTACCGTTGTAGGGATTCATTTCTGGCTGGGCTTGTAGAGACTGTTTTTACCTTACCTTATGTTGGCACTTTTGTAGCTTACATAAGCAATCAATCTTTTCACCAGTTACCAGTATGAGTCTGAGTGCTCAGTAGTTTTCTATGATATTTCCTCTCCTCTGAGCCTTGAGCCTGGTCCAGAAACCCTTTAGGGTCGAATAGCAGCTAGGTTCTGCAAGACCCAACATTGTTCAGACTCACCATCTGAATTGTTGTACCTTCACCGTGATCCATTGCACATTGAACACATTCAGTAGTCGCTGCGTAGGCTTGACCATCCAATGGTCGTTGGTGGATACCCTGTGGCCCCGTTTGATCTGCGGTCGCTGGTTGCCGTCGAACACGAAGACTAGCTGGACTGGCAGACGGGCAAGGCGAGCGAGGCGAAATAAAAATGTGCGGAGGGCAGGATTTTGGCCCGTCTGAGCATGCGCACGGTGCCACCTGCCCTGCTGGCATTGTTCGAACCACGCACTAGATTTAAACGTGAGTATTCAAGCACAGACAGCGAGCGGGAGAACACGAACCTTGCGTCGACGCCCACAACATAAGGCACATGCGGTGCGGGTCCCTCGTAGCGGCCCTGGATGGCGAGAGAGATGAGGGGCACGGTTGCTGCAGCAGGTTCGAGGACCTGAAAAACGGGGTGAGTTGTCATCACCCGGCGAGTGAACAATGGGGAGGACGTGCCTCCCATAAGTCGTTGATGCCCATCACGACGAGCACGCTAGAAATGTAATTATAGATCAGTAAGGGCTGATGAGCACAGCTGCTAGATAGGTGGAGGAGATGGGGAGCCGAACGAGAACAGGAGACTCACTTACCTACAGCGAAATGCGTACATAAGCGCCGGTGGCAGTACCAGCCAAGGTCCTGGACTGCAAATCCGAGGACCGTCAATCTGCAGTATAGCAGCATGCAGCGCGGTTTTTTTGGCGGGAGGAGAGGTCGGGTTACCACCCAAACCGAAGGTGGGTGCAAACGGAAGATTGACGGTCCTAATGTGCGAAATTCGCAGTCCCTCGGTTAGCGTGTCGGCATTTTCCCTTAGGCATGTTACATTGTGCTCACCTGCTCACCCAGGCACCCTCTGAGCCGTCCAGCAGCTTTTGGAGCTCTCCCGCAGCTCAAAACCGTCGATTTTCGCCGCCCACAGCGTCCGCTGATCCGTCCCGCACGTATTCCGTGCCGATTTCAAACTCTGGATGGGCTGGACTTAGAACTTCTGGGGTCGCGTCTGGACTTGTGGCAGTTTCACGCGAGGCGGTGGCGCTGCAAGATTGGTCAGCTGTCACACAGTCACACCGGACCGTCAATTTGTTCGTGATCAGCTCTACTTCATCAGCATCGTCTCTGCTTGCGTAGTAGCTAGTCACGTGGTGTGACATATCGTGTTTTGTGACTTTTCTCAACATTTGTAAGGCGCGTACAGTTGCACTACGACACTAATAATACTCCGATTGTTTCAGTCACTTTCATCCTTCATATTCGTGTCCGTGGGATATCCCACGTTGAATTGTATGCTGCCATGTCAGTTACCAAAAAACGCCTGACCCTAGACGTTCTTAATTTCTACTACGCGGAAGTTCATAACCTCCAGGCTTATCTTCAGAAAATTGTGAAGGAAGAATCCTACAAACAGACCTGTGGCGACGGGCAGTCTGACTTTCCACTGCAAGCACCCGACTCTGTCCAGTTTCGGGAACTGCTTACCTGCTCATTTGTTTGCTTGTCAAAAGAGTCTACCACGGAACGTACACAATTTTCGGCATCCGAGCCATATGTTGATATGAAAGAGGTATGTGCAAGCATGTATCCTAATTATTCACCAAGAAAACAGTATCTAACGTGCTCTGAAGGTCATTCAGAAGGCCCAGGAACGTCTATTTGGGGCATCAAATTCAAAGTCCAAGCCAGACAATATCATAACATCGGGATATAAGAGAGTAAGCAGCCCATACGACATTTATACACTTTATATTCAATTAGACACAGGCTCTTGAAGCGACCGCTGCTCCATGCGGTTTTACGAACACTTTTGTGAACACAATTATCACGGCTCTGCAAGCCCCAGAATGGTCAAATCTATTGACAAGGTAAAGCAATGATTACCATGAGGTCCATCACTAACTTTTCTCTTGCTACAGAATCGGGGCAGATGCCATGTTGCATCTCCTGACCAAGACTTCCATTTTCATTAAACTCCCGAACGAGTGTTTGTGTCAAATGACGGGTATGCCGTTGATTTACGCTACACCTCCGACACTTAGTTGGTACTTGCCTTCGAGTGAATCTTGTATAAATGACCTTGGAAAGCGGAAGAGAGACCCCTTGGAGGGCTCAGGACCACGCAAACGCCTCAAGCTCATCGTATGGAATAACCTCCGTAAAGTTCCCTCGAAGAGTGTCATCCAGTTGGACGCTATTCCTTCGGAACGGTGAGAGAAGGGATGTTACATTTTGCTCGTTTCGCTGACCAGTTCATCAGGCGAACATCAGCTGATATTTCATTCATTCGTGCACGGATGTTTTACGCGCGACCGAATCGTGATCGTGCGTCGCAAAGTATCGTTGTGGGCTTGCCTTGTACCCGTAAGCTTCCATACATATTGGATTTACATTCATTGATCATCGTGAAGATGTGCTTAACCGGTTGAATCCTTCTTACTTTCGTCAAGCGCAGCCACAAGCTGGCGCATATCAGGACCCTGACCCGCGCCTGCAAGCACAGAAGGCCAGACATCTGAGCAAATATATCTTTCCGTTGCAATACGGTCTATCCAACGTATTCAGTCAGCCGTCAGCCGCTAAAGAAACCTATAAGCAGCCGAATTTTGCTGACAGAGAGCGTGAAATTCAGGTGAGGCTAGGTCTGTCAAGGTACACAGACGTCGAATGAATGTACTTTATAGCTCTTTGGAACATGCAAGACACCGAAGCGGCTGAAGGAAGTGCTTGTGCTTTTGGACAAGATGATCTGGAGACATGGCAAATGTCATTATAAGCTACTTAGAGACACAGTTTGTCCATCCAAGGTAGACAAGCTTCAAGTCATAGCGCGCGCTAGTCTCATCTTCGCCCATAGATCACGACAACGGACAACAAGACGATGGACAGCAGCATCATACTGGTGAGCAAAATAGAACATTGTCACAGCTTTTTTTTCTATCTGTTCGGCAGGAAATGGTGTCCGAGAACTCAATCCAACTGAAATCGCAAGCGTCGCAAATGAACATGACGATTGACTCCGTAGGAAACAGCACCATCGCAGATCGAGTTCCGGGTAAAAATGAAATAGAACACAAGCCGCGATTCCTGGAATTCACTTGTAGTCACGCTAAGGTACGACTCAGAGACTCGTGGGTGCATTATCACTAACCGTTTAACTAGGTTTTTCGCTATGCTATACTCGTGACCAAGGCTGTTATTCCGAAAGCTTTCTGGGGATGCGAGAAGAATTTTGAGGTTTTTCAAAGCTGTATGTGTGTTTATCTCTCACATGCTTATATTTGGCTGACACTCATCAGATCTTAATGAATTCATTGTATGCCGGAGATTCGAAACGTCTACATTACATCACGTACTTCAAGGTTTCAGCACGTCAGAATGCGACTGGTTGATGCCTCCCGGTGAGGGCGCCCGGAAGCAGCATAGAGTATCCGTGACGGATTCTCTCAAACGTCGTGAACTTCTTGAAGAATTTCTCTTCTGGTATTTCGACTCCTTCCTGCTTCCGCTTCTCAGAGTTCGTATTTTCTTCGACTAAGATGGAGACATCTTATCGACACAAACGTTTCCAGACGACGTTCTACGTCACGGAGTCATCCGCATTGCGAAAGCACGTCCTTTACTTTCGGCAAGATGACTGGGAAATCCTCTGTGCACCTTTGATAGACCGACTCAGTGAAAAGACGTTCCAAGAGGTCGAGAAGGTTCGTCTTAAATTACTGGTGTGGCTTAGTTCTTACGCTTCTGTAGCATGAAGCAGAAGAGATCTTGCGCCAACGACAACTCGGATTTGCCTTCATCCGCTTGCTGCCCAAGGAAACTGGTGTTCGCCCCATTGTTAATTTACGACGAAGAGCACACCCCAAGGTCCGTTTCTCTCAGTGAAATCGGTTGAACTCTTGCACATTGCTAGGCAGGGTCAGTCTACAAGGCCACCGCTATCAATCAACCAGACTCTGAAGACGACATTTGCGATTTTGACATATGAGAAGGTGGCTCATTTCGTGCTACGTTGAGATGACTCTTGCTGATGTCATGGCTAGCAACAACAACCAGACCTCCTTGGAGCGTCCGTTTTCAGCTCCAACGAGATATACCAAAAGCTGAGGAGGTTTAAGACGGAGTTATCGAAGGACGCACCGTTAAGGAAACTGTGTGATCTATCAATTCGATTGGATTCGTATCACTGACCCGTGTATTTCATAGTCCGAAACTATATTTCGTCAAAGTTGACGTGCAAGCATGCTTCGACACCATAGATCAATCAATGCTGCTGAAGATCATTCACAACATAATATCCGAGGTAAACAGTCACGTCTGCTTTCAGTTCCAAAACTCACATGATCACGCAGGACAACTATATGATACGGAAGCACGGGCAGGTTGCAGCTGATTTTAAAAAGATCAAACGCAACTATATCAAGCGGGCAGATTCAGACGGTGGGTTATTGTATATCAAGCCGCTGGTCACGTGTTGATGAGGTATTCCCCAAGATGAATCCACGGACTTTGTGGCGTATGCTCGTGAAATGGCTGCTTTCCTACGGAACACGATCTTCATAGATCAGGTTGGTCGCTTAGTGCATGGCTTATACCGGTCATTCACCGTCGTGTAGGTTCAGTATGAATTTCAGAACAAGGTGGCCACTCTCAAGCTCCTCGAAGAGCACATAAGGGAAAACCTCGTGAAGGTCTGTTCTAATTGTCTTGGAAGGTTGTCACAAGTCCCTGACGTTTTTTGTCAGATCGGCGAGCGTTATTATCGACAAGTTGTTGGCATCCCTCAAGGATCTGTACTATCGGCTCTCTTGTGCTCGTTTTTCTACGGGGATTTAGAGAGAACTCGTTTGAACATCTTTGATGACCCCCAAAGCGTGCGTGTTTCTTCCTTTTTTATAAGAGCATATTGACCCCAACGCATAGTTATTGCTTCGATGGATTGACGACTATCTATATGTGACAACTAGCTTGGCAAAGGCAAGGCGGTTCCTAGACGTCATGTACGAAGGTAAACTAGCGTGCTTCGTGCTCTACCACACCTCATATTCTGAATCCGCTAGGGCATCCTGAATACGGTTGCATCGTGTCCAAGCAAAAGACATTGACGAATTTCGAGCATGATTCCATCCAAGGAGCGAACATTATTGAAGACAACCAAAGACGTATGTTTAATCATACTTCCTTACTATGTTATTGCTTGAAGACAATAGATTTTCCTTGGTGTGGCTTGCTGATCGATATGTCTAACCTCTCGGTCATGGCTGATTACTCGAGGTATGATGGACACGGTGAGTATTTCCTTCTCATGCGCATCATGATAGACTTCCAATATTCAACGTTCTAGACCTCGAGTATTCGCTCACAGTCGACAAGAAACGGCGTCCTGGCGTGGCGTTCACTCGTAAGATGTTACTGTGAGTATGGTATATCCTTCATTGGCCATCGACTAATCGCCCCCAGTATGGCGAAATCTAGAAGTCATATGATCTACACGGACACCCAGTTGAATGGGCTGCATACTGCACATGTCAATGTCTATCAAAGTTTCATCATTGCTGCAACGAAGATGCACCATTATATCATGAGCTGGGGTTTAGATATTGTGAAGAATCAAAAATTCTTGAACAGTAAGTTGAATCTAATACATATCAACCTCAGATTCATGTTACTTACCGAAAATAGATGTGATCAGACATGTTATCAGATATACCTATACCGCAATACGTCACCAGTCGTGCAACAAGGTTGCGCGCGACAGCGGCGGAGCTTGCGATTTGCAGACATATTCTGTGTCATGGTGAGCATTGACCTCGGCGTTGTACTTCGTTGTTCTCATCGTCAACATCCACAGGCTAGGGATGCATGCGTTCTACACCGTGTTCTCGAAGAAGCCCAATGTTTACCATGGTTCGACCCTGCTAACTTCACTCCAATTCCAGTTATCTTTGCATCGTAACAAAGTGCTGAAGCGCCGGTTCAAGAAGGTGGTGAAGGAGGGTCTTAAAGGTGTTCCTGCGTTAGATTTTTGAGATATTCACGTATTTATGATTTCCGTACTGCCTGCCTGCACAGGCTTGGATGGGTTTGATGCCCCGCCTCGCCAGTCAAAGCCAGCACCGTACGTACGTGTATGCACGCGACTTTCCGTAGACAAGTACCGTCGTCTGCTTCCGCTGTTTCACATCATGTCCAATTTGGGCAGTTCACAATTTAGTTCACATGCCGTACTGCAGCACGAGTACACGCCGCCAGCCACGTTGGTGACCTTGCTCTCTACTCCACCGCGGCCTTGAGGCTGAATCAATTGAGGTGTCTAGTGTTTGTTCGAACTTCAAATACTAAGCACGCCGCAACCCTGCAACACAGCTTGAGACTTCTTCCTTTCCTTCCCCCTGGAGTGATTCGGAGCAGCAGACATTCCATCGATCTTGGCAGTGGTCTTCGCTTAAGTGTTCCGGATTGTCGTGGTTCCAATAGTGAGCTATATAGTGCGCTTTACTCAGTATGCCTCTTCTCTGATTACTCTGTAGTATCGAACAGACACAGTCATTTTACAGACATGCCTCGTAGAACAACTTTGGCTTTCATAGCCCTCCCTTTACTCGCGCTCTCACTTGCGTATTATGCACAATCCTCTTCCTCGCCTCTTGGGCCCGCACCTCACCTCGGAACTGGACTGCAGCTTTCACTGGCTCTGTCAGGTCTCATTGGATATGCCCAAGCCGCCGTGCAGGCACCTTTCAGGTTCAAACCTGTAGAACAGCCTGAGGAAGTAGTCATCGCTACCGATGAGTACGAATATACACGCGAGCCTCGCCCACGTTTCTCGCGCAAAATTATTGCTGTAGGCGATATACATGGTGACATTGGAAATGCAGAGCGTATCTTACAAATGGCCGGCGTCGTGGACGAGAACAATAATTGGAGCGGCAAAGTGGATGTTTTTGTGCAGACTGGTGACATCATTGACAGGTGAGGGCTTCCGACTGGCATTTCGATCCCACTCAATATGTTTGCAGGGGCGATGACACCATCGAGTTGTTTAATTGGATGGAAGACCTTCGTGAGCAAGCCTTAGCCGTCAACGGCATCGTGTTGTCTATCCTCGGAAATCATGAGTATATGAACGCGATAGGTATGCAATAAATCTCATAACGTGGAGCACATGACTGAGCCAGTTCTCCACCAGGTGATTGGCGGTAAGTGATGTCATCCACGGAGCATGCGTTGCCATTGAGGTTGATCACAGTTACGTTTTGGAGTCGGAGAAGAAGACTTTTGAGCCTCGCGGGAGCCGCCTGGAAGCTGTCACGACTGGCTGGCTTGCGGATGCATGGGCAGAGAATTATACGACCGCTGCGCGACTTCCTCTTCACGGTTTACTTGGCCCTCCCAACACCGATTACCCAGTACCAGATGGAAGTGCATTTGCACGTGCCAATGCAGGACCTCTTTCGCATGCTGCTTTCTCATTTGTGCATGGTGGTTTGGCTCCTACATACCCAAATCTGCAACCGTTCCCAAGTGCTATTAATAACCTTGGATCATCGCTTTTACACAGGTTGAGAGAGCGTAAGCCTCAACCTCAACCACACCCACCCAGTTCATACCCTGGTCTCCCTGCAGGCACGACTCGCGAGGAAGCCCGCCTGTACGGTAGCGATGGGCCGTTGTGGTACCGTGGCTGGGCCGATGAGGATGAAAGGAAGGTATGCCGAATGGTCGACGAGGTTCTCGAAAAGACAGGCACTCGTCGTATGGTGATGGGTCACACCCCGCAATTTGACAGCATTGCAGCTAGGTGTGACGGAAAAGTGCTTGTCATCGACACAGGTAAGCTCTATGGCACCAGAATATTTCGGAGTGTTCTCAATATCATTATTAATATCCAAGGTATTTCGCATGCTTATGGTGGCGCCTTATCGGCACTGTCAGTCGAGTACACGTTGGAACCTGTCAAGGGTGGAGGATGGAAAGAGCAGGAAATCGTCAAGGCTCTATACGCTGACCATGATGACGAACTGCTTTCCGTCAGCACGCGGGACCTCGAGAATCTCTGGTAGACCTCTACAAGGTCTCGCGACACCACTCGATGACCCAACTAAAACCTATGGGGCGCGGAGGATGGTGGTCAAAACGTGATAAATTCAGGAACGTGACTGGCAGGTGCGATGAATTATTGTATTGTAGGATGTTCCTCGTTCAGACAAATTTGATGGAGATTTATCGTACATAGAGTTATGCTATAAGTCTGACGCAGCTACCTAATCGACTACGAGGATCGTTGTCCACATCAGTATTTGGTGACCCTCACTTGCAGGCCAAGACGAACGCTACCTTTGGAATTGAAATAATCAAAGCCGATCACCATGTCAGTAGTTCACTCATTCTTCACTAGCAAGCTCTGTCCCGCCGCCGCTACCATTAATTTGAACCAATATGGTTTCGCGTGTCACTCAGACTGTACGTTCTACTCGTGTACATGTTGTGATATTTACTACTGCCACTGTGACCTAGTGTATGTTAGTTTTGTACACCACGCAATTCGATCACGATTTATCGATATCACGCATACCCGGTGCGGCGTCGACAGGCTGCCTGGCATGAGCGGACATGAAGACATGATCACACGCTGAGTCATCATGATCGGTGACGTATCCACTGACTGACAATGACGTTGTTATTCCAAGTCAGTCTAACATTTCGGGATTGCCTAGACAAATACTTCAACTTGACTTCACCGGCACCATTAGATGGAGCGTGTTTTGTCTTCAACGCCCAGTGGAAAAACACAGTACTTCGACGCGCTCCAGTATCCTGCCGAGAACATTGACATCAAGCAATCCAACAGTCAGGGGCAAAACCTCTCGATGCCAAAAAAATCAGGAAATACTCCTACACCAAACGGTAACATCCCAGGCTCAAATGCCTCGCCCAAAAAGAATATTTTGGTATGGGGGACAGCCACGCGGAGTTCACAAAGCGTCACGGCGAAAATCATCCAGACCGCAGCAGGTCCCCGTCGATCCAATCGCTTCCCGTGTGTACGGAGGACATAGATGAGGATGCACCTTTCGCTCATAGTATGGAAGACGGACATACCCCTCCGTTGGGAAGAAAGGCGTCTGTGCGCACAACAAGAAGCAATCGCACGACTAGATCAGTGGCTGAGGCGACAGCAGCCTTCCAGAGCGGGTCGGTCCTCACCGGTCCAAACGCCGAGCCAGATGTAGATGAGGGTGTGGTCCAACGGGGCGTCATCGCTGAGAGATCTTTGAGTAAGAAGCAGAAAGAAAAAATAATCAAGGATGAGAGTGAGTATTCCGTCATTACGACTCCAAGTTTCTTTCGTAAACTGAAGCCCTTTGTTAGAACGAGAGTCGAAGTGTTTTTCCAAGCTTTTGAAGACAGAATCTAAGTTGGAAAAAGCTGCATTGGCACGGGCTCTTAAGTCTCTCGCGGCTCTGCAAGATCTTCACAAGGCCGCCTGCAAACTTGAGACCAGAGCAGAGGCAGCCCACTCCAAGTCACTCTTGGCCGCTCAGCAAGCTGAGAGCACGTTCCTGGAAGTAAGGGCTCGTGCTGAGGAGGAGCGTGCGCGGTGGGAGGGCAAGCAAGTAGAGGTCAAGGCTCAAGAGGAACGCTTGGAAGCGGAGAGGGAAATTGTAAGGGAGATGGAGGATCGCATGGCAGAATGCGCCCGCGAGATCGAAAAATTGAGGATCGTGAAGGCTACAGACGAGGTACGAGCTCTCATGTTAGTTTTTTAGTATTGCGATTCACCCTCTTCCAGAGAGAAAGGGAAGCCAAGATGGCAGAAATGTTGGGAAAGAGAACATGAACCTTCTTTTTATCTTTATTATATTCATTGCAATTCTTTTGAACATCGATGCATACCATCATACTGGACTACGGCCGTTCTCAGATACGCTGTTGACACAATCATCGCCATGCTTGTAATAACTTTCACATTAATATCTCGCTACACATGATTATGTACCAATACACGCACAAGACATCATAGCATAACCAGTGATGCCCTACAACGCAGGAAGAAAGAAATGCCAAGAATCAAAGGAGCGAAAACGGTCAGACGACTGTTTTTAGATCATGCGAGTGGAGCCATTGCAGCCGGTGACTTGGATTTGGTGAAAATGTCACGTACGAATCGATATCAATGAGTCATCTCATCAGGCATCTCGCACCAAGCCTCATAAAGAAAGACGCGAGCCCGCGGAGCAGGTACATTGCGCCAATATACTTCAAGCACCTGTGAATACAAACAGAATCAGCATCAAAGCTACACGCCTCAATAAAAATGCGAAGAAGGATCAGATGGCTGTTCTTAGTTTTTTTTGTTGTGTTTTCACCACCGCCACGAAGGCTTCGGATTTGGTGATACAGATATCATCCGTAAAGAGAAGCTAGTTTCAGAGAGACAACTCACCTCTCCTCGTAAGTGCACGAAGGCTCTACATCGTTGAAACGTTGATGGCACAAGGGCTGGTGATCAAACGAGGTCGAGAAGTTTGTTTGCGGAGGTTAAATACTGTGACGCGGAGATCGATTATAGTAGTGTGGCCGGGTGTTGCCGGGCTTCTCCATGCCGTGATCAATGAGAACTCAGAGTCGCCATCATAACTGGTCAGACTGACTCACCGAGAGAATCTAAGGCGCGTCATGGCATGATGGAATAAGTACATGAACGGAAATCAAAGGGTTTTATTAACTGTCAACGGAATATGAAGAGTGGAGTATCGACTCCTCGGTATACCAATTTCGCTCGATTCACCGCATCATGTCCGAAAAATGATAGGAATATTTATTAGCAAAAGGCTCTATTACGCGAAGACTGCGCCATCAGACTCCAGGCATTTCTAATTAAATCAGTTTTCTCGTAAGAGAATCTACGAAATAATAACTACATTTCAACGTTGCAACCCGTACAAATACAAATATGTAACCGCAACTTAACATAATAAAAGTAATCAGACGTCCGTTGGAGTGAAGTGTACCGGTATAAAGTGAGGTACGTCCCAGGTCCCGCTGTAGGACAGGTATTAACACTTTTAAGGTATCACTTGGCCAAAAAAAGAATTATGCGGGACTCGGTAACGATGGTAGAGGCTCGAAGGAGCCAACTTGCCGTGTGTCCGCATACGCAGCAAGGGCGTGGAGCTCCTCGCTCAAAAATAATCAAAGTCTGAATTAGGATAATTCGGATGACTCGGGATAGCTGTATGCGGGACGTCAGTACGAGCTTTGACGATGTTCGTACAGGAACAAACCTTAAACGTCAGGAAGAACGGAAATATCCCGATGTTCCAATCCGTGCCGGATCTCGCCGGATCGCCGGGAGGGTGTACGCCCAAGTGGGGATACCTCCTCGTGCTCGATCCCCCTCCAGAGTTCGCCAGATCGCCGAATAGCTGTGCAACGAAGTGTATGTCAGTAAAAGCTTGTAACTCAACGTCGTTGATAGGTCACCTTCTGTACTCGCTTCAGAGGAATAGACCTTATCGTGAACATTGTTCTTCCACAGAGCACCAGCAACTTCATCATGGGGATTTGTAGAATATGTGGAAGTCGCGGCCGAGGTAGACGTTGTGGTCACTGTGGTTGTGGGGATAGCAGCACCGAGAACAGATGATGTGAGAGCAAGATAAACTGCGAAGCTGCCCAAGGAGGTGAACATATTGCTAGAGATATTGGGGCGAACGAGTCTTGTTTATATGGGCGATATTGGGATACAGCGATTATGAATATTAAAATGATTGGGATTCTCATACCATTTATACGCCGTCATTGCTGCTGGCTGGGCATGCGCTGTAGCGTATGACTCAGGCCCCGTTGACGACCAGCAAGAACCATATTGGGTGAGTGCGATGTCCAGGAAGCAGTAATCAACCCGTGACAGGCAGAGGGCAGTGACTTATGCATGACAGCTGTTCCGGTAGCAGGTACTATATGCAACTTTGTAAACCTGGACGATTTTCGGTGCCGAGGCACCACCCATCTCTATATCACGGAACGTGGCCCTCTCAACAGCGTCTCCCGCGGAACTTACCATTTTCTATTTTCTTTTTAGAATAGAGCGGAAATGAGAACTGCTATTCGCGCTTGCCAGAAATAACAATCAGGGCACCGGTATGCACCCAGAACGCCTTGTTTTCTGTTTCGGATATGATAAAACGCCTCAAGTGCGGCACTAGACTCAGGGGATGAATAGGTCGTGCACTTGCATTTGGCGAAGAGGCCTAGCGGGTGTAGAGATTATGTTCTGTTTCCTGGCATACCGGCTTTGGGCGGCAAAGTGTAGCTTGCTGACATCCAAGCGGTACAGCTAAACGAATGTGATAGCATCCGATAGTCGAGTATAAAACTCTCCAAGAATGCTAGGTTGGGACTGAGGTACAGGCACTGCCGCATGCTGCCACAATCCTGTATCTATCTCACTGATTGTTCAAGTGGATGCCTGGGAGTTAGTTGTGATAAATATGAATATGAGATCCGAGGAACCGCACTTTCTGAATTATCTGGGCACTGTCTGTCAACGGACTATGATAAAGATGTAGTACACACTATCCTCTGACTTGCACTGGTAGTGCACAATCCTCATTATTGTGGTAAGGCACAGGCTTGGTATGCTTGCCCTGCCCGAGGTACGATTCAGGAAGTGGGGTATACGGGGTGAGATCTCCGAAGCGACATTTTCATATAGAGAACATGCATAGGAAATGGCCAGTCTGCGAGGTCTGCGCAGAGTCCGCGCCAAAGTCTGGGTGTATGTCCATGATCGGAAAGGTCCGGGCGGTCAAAGGTTCGTTTATTTTAGTCTATTTGGTCTATCGTCGCAACCACCTCGGTGTCTACGTCAGCCACCATCACGGCATCTCAGCCACCATCATGCCAATCTCGTCATTCTTATCAGCTTGCCGTCCCGGTTCTAGTCACCTGGAGGGAGAACATAGCGGCCGTAGACTGGGAGCTATAGACGACGACATGCGGGTAGGAAATAGGCAAACACCGAGCCGAGGAGGTGGTAGACAAGCCATATGCAGGCGTGAGACACGGCCCTTGCGGGATCAGGAGGTAAAGATCCTGATGCGGCAGGCGGGCGGGATGGAGGTTGGCTGGGATGATAGTGACATCGTACAGCGACCTTGAGAGACTTGCTGAATCCTAGCAACCCACTGACAGGACACAAGTCTACATCCGGTTTGCATAGACCTCATGCAGATCGGCCAAACCTCGCACTTTCTGTCCATAATAGTCAACTAGAGGTTGCGGTACCACAGCAAGTTCCGCAGCTGTAGTAGCAGTCGCCTTGGTGGGGGTAAATATATATCTTGCAGGTGAGTATACTCTATTTTATAACTGCAAGCTTAGATATATCTAACGCTGTCTATTTATGAACTTGCTGTCATCAGTGCCGACCTCTTCTCTGCACCCATTACACATCGTGATTTCGTTCTGTACCATGAGCTCGATGTTTAGTTCGATTCTAGGCGCGCTTCGCCATATATGTTGACATCATTACAATACTGATTATGTGCCTCCTGTCAACCCGTTTCACAGACACTCACAAGCTTGGTAGCATTAAAAGAGGTAAGTTGAAAATTCTTAGCGTGGTTTTAGAAGGATGCCCGTTCGCAGACCTCGCAAGTCCGTCACCTGAAGAAGCCCGCATAAGCTTTTCTCGATATTCTTGTTACCTTGACCATTATGTATATATGCATGCTGTCTAGATCTTGCACCGCGTGTTACTTGATGCAAATATACCCATTCTTAAGGATGCAATTGTTTGGACTTGCGGAATATCTTCTCGGAAGAACACAGCATAATTATGGACTGTAAATAGCAACGCCACGGATTGTCTATGTTAAAAGGTAATAATAATAGGCAGCAGGACTTGGTGAAGTTCGGATCGTCAACAGCACCTGCCAGTGTATTGATACAGAGTCCGGGACTTGTTGTTAATATAGCACATGCCTGTATCGATACATGATGAGAAGTACTAGGGAAAGTAACCCATTACTCAATTTGGAATGCGTCGATCTAGAGCACCAAAGGTGTATGATATTTTTAAACCGGAGAAGAAGAGGTAAATGGGGCTGGGAACGCTCAGATACTGCTTCCCAGAGAATTGGTGCACGGAAGCGCAGAAAGTACAGCAGGAATTATTCAAGGTACATCCTAGATATAATCCTAGGACAGTTGGCAATGCCCGAGAAGCTATTTTTCACATTTCAGCCCTGGCATGAGTATTAATGCAGAGAAGCCTGTACAGCATACCGACCGAGAAGCTATCAAAAGAAGGGGCAGTTATCACAGCAGTTGGGGTAAGTTGGGGGAGGTGGGGGAATAGGAAGCCTCGGATCCCCAGGTGCGGTGGCCACACACCGAGCTACTCACCAAGGGACCGAGGCTCTCGGCTGTTTCCGAATCGATTGAGAATGTGGCGTTGTGCAAAGACGATGGAATATGTTTGACCCTCGTGGATGTACTATTTTGAAATAAAGAACATTAATTATGGACCCTGATTGTCCCTTCAGACTTCCCTGTGTGAAAAAAATTCGTTCTATTTTATTATGATAGATATATTGCAAGGTGCTGCGGAACTCGCAGAATCAAGATAACATCACTATTACTAATATGTAACGTTTATTGATGACACACAAGTGCGACGATGGCGGGCGTTGCGCTCATCCCTACCCCGAGGAACTTTGTCGTTTCGCAATAGTCCGCTATTTCATCTGTGTTGTCATGTTTCTTGCTAACTTCTAGTAGGTTTATGCCAGACCTGCAAAACGTTATGGCATATGACACAATATTCCATCCACATCCAGTACATGCTTGAGCTTTTGCTCGGGGTTTCACCGAGACCTCCTAGTTTACCCTGCACTCTTTGTAAGGTAGAGATTGGGTGTGAAGTGCGGGCTATGGTGGATATTGGGACAGGACAGTCTCTTCATTGGGGATTGTAACACAAAAAAACATCAGCCTTTTCCGTAGGCTCACACACACTTTCCTCTCAGCTCAGTGCCGCTGAGTGGTCTTACTGTCGACACTCTGCAGGATCTTGTGGAGATGGTCTCCTTGCCCGAATCTGTCTTTGCAATCGATGTCGAACAAGATCACCATATCTTTTGGGTGGAGTTTCGGTCGGTTTCATTCCAGCGTCCCATCCGGTACATATTTTTGATGCACCTGACGATCATCTTGTTTCTGTTGTGGGACAACCGGAAGTCTACGATGATGGTGTATTTGTCTACCGCTGCGTAGACAACACGGGCGACATAGCTTCACGCTACATCCATACAAGTGATTGATCGGAGGAAGGGACACACGAGAGTGTAAGTCCCTTTATTTTCAAGAAGTCTGTGGCTTAGCATAAGCGGTATCCTTCACCAGAAGGACGAGATGGTCATGTACAGCAATCCACGCAGTTGACTGATGAATGATTGTTGCGATCGGCTCCAGCTTTATAACCGTGTATGCATTGCAAGAACCCGATAGGTCACCTCAGCGCCGAATCACGTACCTTTGTCCGAAGCTCTGCTGTTCATTACCGTCGTACATGTATTCCGAGGTGCAGCGGCCCATACAGACCCTATTCCCGGCTATGTGCCATCTCTAGTTCCGAAAATTCGTACAATCCGAATTTGTCAGACCTTCTCATTCGCAAGCCTGGTCGCTTATTTGTGACGTGTATCATCCTGACACTGCTAAATTTTACCGTAAGCCTTTTTCCACGCGTGGCTTGGAGACGTTTTTGTTGGAATAGGATTGGCTTACTTTCACATGCTAGGTGTTCTTGGTCGCGGACACAGCAAATGTTGACTCTATAGTTTCAAACTGGCTCAGTCGATATTCGGGTCGTTTATGCAGGTTGGGCTCATAGACTAGCAGACATTTCGTTGGTCTCGGTTGGACATATGGTTATGCTGAACATGGTCACTCTAGAATTTCTTTCAGGTAAACTATACTTCGGGCCACCAACACAAATCTGCAAATCACGAATACCGACACCAGTGCAAGCACTTCGTACGTGACTCGATCCAATACAGTGTACTTATGATACACACCGCTATTTGAACACAAACAACTTCCCTGCACAGCCGTTGTAAGAATTTCTCGATATCGTTGTCCTGCACACTTGATACAATAGCCCGTACTAGTAGTGTGTAAACGACGGGAGGAAATGTACGACCTTTACTACCCCAGGCTAAGTAATCGTGGTCGGGATCTATTGATCAGCCTGTGATCATAGGTTCATGAGCAAATGGCAGATCCTTGGATAGATTTCATTTATTTATTGGGTACGTACGTGCTGGAGGCTGGAGCCGACATTGACTACGGCCGAACACGAAAGATAAGATAAACACGTGGCAAGACGTACACCAAGCGCCAACAGTTCATTTTGTCGTTCATGCATCGATGTCGACGAAAGCTGCAATATCATTCACAAGTCTCACTCCTTCGTTGACCAAATCACGCTCAAAGATTACCCAATATTCCAACATCAGATCTCTAGGATATTATTATCACAGCACACTCAATGGAACTTGCCGGTCGTTTCAGCCATTCCAGCGGTGCGTCACTGCATCCTCACGTCTCCATCTCCAACTACTACCTTCACTTTCACGACGAACGATGTCTTCTTCCTCTGGAAACACTTTTTATGATTTGAAAACAGAGCTGCCTAGCGGGCAATCATACGACTTTGAACAACTCAAAGGGAAGGTTGTCTTGATTGTCAATGTTGCATCGAAGTGGTGAGTCGGTAACTATGGTAGACCTACGAGGGACTCACTCTTCGGAATCTTCAGTGGTTTCACTCCCCAATACAAAGGTGCAGTCTATGATAGTTCTCGAAGTTGATATGCGACTGACAGAAGACACTCAGGCCTTCAGGCTTTGTACGACAAGTACAAGGAACGCGGCTTCGTCATTCTTGGCTTCCCATGCAATCAAGTATGTCTACGCTGCTCCAGTCACTGTTTCACTACGATATAGAGCTCAACAATGTCCCATAGTTTGGCGGCCAAGAGCCTGGTGACGACGCCGCCATTGCATCTTTCTGCGAGCTCAATCACGGCGTAAACTTTCCTCTTATGAAGAAGTCTGACGTCAATGGCGACAACACGAGCCCTGTTTACCAATGGCTCAAGAACGAGAAGCCTGGCCTCATGGGCCTCGCCAGAATCAAGGTTCGTTATGTGGGGTCGGATCGCCGATGTGCACGTAACTAACGCAACTTCCCACTCGTAGTGGAACTTTGAGAAGTTCTTGGTTGACAAGAACGGGAAAGTTGTGAACCGCTGGGCATCGACGACTACTCCTCAGGCGATTGATGCTACAGTGGAGAAGCTTCTTGCTGAGTGATGCCGTTGGATGCAGCACAGGTTTTTGGATCGTAGTACCGTGATGTGTCGCGACGGCACAGACACTTCGCTCTTTGTAAGAGGCATATTTTGTAATCAATTATTAAAAAAGCTCGTCATTCAAATATCTTCGAAAAGGCTGTGCTTCGATCCTGTCCTGATGTCTGAGATCCTTTACCCAGCACCGAAACAAGGAAGCGTAGGTCATACATGATATCATTCGTTGCTCCATAGACGCAGCACTTCGTGTCCCAGCCTTCTCAAGTTCAAGGCCAAAAATGCGTGATGGAGGAGGTCAGTCTACACATACCTTGACTCCGAATATTTCCGTATCATCAAACAACTGCAGCTGGATGAACCCAGCCCTGGGCACATGGTGATATAACTTTGAGAATATTTTGCTTCATTGGAGGAAAACAGACGGTAGAACTGTAGGGAGGCGAGTAAACGGACGGCTATAGTAGGGTGTAGGAGCAGAATAACTTGAGTCCTGAGGGGTGTCTATTGGCAGTCTGATTTGACTGTTACTTTTTCATGTCTGACATTGATAGCGTGCCAACAGTTGATACTCAGCTGGCTAGTGCTCACCGAGGATATCATCATCATTGTTTCATGGTATGAGCCTTTTTATGATTTGAAGGCTTCCTGTGGGTGTAAGAGCGATCGATGCCTGTGCCTCCTTTTCTCCCAGTGTTCTCATTGTTTGTAATCTAGATTCTTGGGATGATCACCAGTTGCGAAGTGGATTCAAGGATTCTCGTACGCCACTGTAGGTTTGATGTCGAGGAATTTCAAGCATAACTCGTTCGAGAGCCGGTCGACAATGAGTTAATTGAGCAAGAGTCCTAGAGTCTAGTGGCCTAATCATGTAAATTCAAACACCGACGCTAGCCTCTTCCAGCCTGAGGATGTCACGGTAGCGAACACTTTGTCTCACCAATATCTGTTTTATTCTGCCTACTAGAATGCAATAAGACGTTGTCAGCTTCAATCATAGCGTATGATATGTTACTGACTGCTCATGAATATTTCACAGGAATTTCGTCTCTCCGTAGTTCACGCGAATACATCAGCCATGTCACCGGCACACTCCTCGAGTCATGCACCCCATACCACTCATCGGTGCTGAGAGAAAATGTGAGCATATGGATGCTGTCGGCGCTCTCATCTTAAATACATGGTAAGGCTTGCAAGTTTTGATGTGGATGACCATTGTGTTTATTTTGCTCCGGCTATTCTGCAGGGAACACCGCATCGTAAGTACTGTGCAAGCCTCCCGTGCACTTTGCATTCAGCGAAAAGGTGCCGTGTTAGCGACAGTGGCGAACCACAGCTGCAGTGCCAGCAGAACAATGTTTTTTGTGTCTCATAATGTTCACAAGGGAGCTGCCGATCGAGTCAAAGATGCCACGACTTCCATACCCACGCGAAAATACACCAGAGGATCTGTGGATCTGTGGATTCTTGTGAGATTGGCTATATAAAAGGTGCTGTGCTTGAGCACTACCAACAACTTTGAATCATGCATCGCATTTTCGAATTCGACGATATCATCCATGCAGTCTTACAATACGTCGAGTCCTCTGCGACGGACTTGGTGAACGTGGCGATGACTTGCTCCAGGCTGGCAGGTCCCGCCCTCGATACCCTCTGGTCCAGACAGTCCAGTTTGGCACGCCTTATCATGTGTTTACCACAAGACACCTGGGAGGGGAAGGTTGAAGGGTATTACTGTGACTATATTGTCGTAAGTGAAGTATACCATTTGAGTTTTGACGGGACAATGCTCACCGTGTTCTGATTTGTAGCGTCTTTCCAGAGAGCCAACTCCCATCGAGTGGGAGCGCCTGAGAGTGAACGCATCAAGAGTGCGCCGGCTTGTTAGCATCGATGGCTTCACTGACGCGCCGAAGCTACCTCGCGGTCCAGTGCTTAGGCGGCGCACAGATGGCATTGGTAGTGCCCTGGATCTATTTCGCCCTATCCTGCGCCCAGACGTCATTGGTCATGTCCTGAAGAGGCTGTTCGAGCAGTTTCCCCCTACCACACTCTTCCCGAACCTTTGCGAATTGCATTTCGAGGCCGTGTTTGGTCCTCTGGAGCGTAGTTCAAAACTCTGGCTGCTTCGGCAGTTCATTTCGCCTGGATTGCAAGCGCTCCGGTTTGATGTAACTGGAATCCCAACACATGAGGTAGAGCAATTGTTTGATGCTCTGCCCACCGAAGCATATGGCCTGCGCCAATTGTCAGTATCGGCAGGCAATGGCACCACAGCTTTGACAGTCCCCGCGAGTCTCGGAAAGCTGCCAAAGTTGATGAGACTGGCTATTTTCGGAATCGATATGTCCTTGACGAGGCAGACGATCATCAATATCCAGCAAGCACGGTATCTTCAGACCCTCAAGCTCAATTTGTGCGGAGCCTCCTGCGATGCGAGTGGTATACCCCTTGAATTGCCTAGTCTCGAAACCCTCTATCTCTCTGAGGGTTCCTTGTCACAGTGCACGCACTTCGTTCGTCAAGTCACCACCCGACAACTATCACACATCAATATCAGCTATCGCGGATCTTCTAGCCCGGCCGAAGTCACCGCATTCGTGGAATCCCTGGCGACGTCGTGCCAAACTTTTGAACATTTGGAACGGATCTATGTGGTCGACAAATCAGAACATCCTGATTATCTGCTCGTCATCCCACTCCACTCCGAAAGCTTCCGGCCATTGTTCAAGTTCAAAAGGCTGTCGTCTGTTAAATTCATCGGCATTGGAAATTTCGAACTTGACGATAGGTTCCTCAATGATGTCCCAATTGCCTGGCCGAGCATTCAGGAATTGAAGTTCATCTCCTGGAAGAGACGTGCCTTTTATAGCGTCACCTTCACCGCCATGATGTCACTGGCGTCAAGGTGCAGATCGCTGCGTACCCTACATCTGACGGTCGACGCTACGCAATCGACGACAATTCCTCGAGCACCGGACGGGACCGAGAAGCTTTGGCCTACGCAAACCACCCTTCGCAACCTGCATCTTGGGTACTCCCGGGTGTCAGAAGTTGCACGCGTACCATATTTCCTGGCCGAGATATTTCCAACTCTATGGGATTTCAAATTTTACGAGCGTTACTTGAGGAATTGCGCTGCCGATATTTATTTGCGATTAGCACTGGAGAAAGCATATTCGCAACTAATGGCGCTTCGGAACTCTCCTTGCGACAATTCGGATAAGCTATGGGAGACTGACTCAGACGACAGTGGGACGTGAGAAGCGTAGGAGTGAATTGTTCCATCGTAACGCAATCGAGGTTGTATTTAGACTAGAGTGATATAGCTGCTGTATACGTCTACTCTGTCATGCTTATATTCCTGATGTTGGTATGTCTCAAAGCAGCAACACTGATCTTCGAAAAAGTAACTCACGCTGCGCACTAGTTTGCATTTATTGCCACCGCACCGTTTCACTGGGCTTGCGCTGAGAGTTACGGCTGCGATATACCTTGTACTCGAGATTTCGTTCATGCTAGACGCATGAGAAGTCCGGTCTTTAAATTCACCTATTCACCGACCACCAAGGCAACGCCATCATGGAGAGCCGGGTTATGCGGGCCTAGTGCACGATGCATTGCAATAGAGATGCTTTCAAACAAGACAACAGGATCAAGCAGAAGCGCTTACCTGCCAAGGCTCGCCCGTTGTCTGGCCTGTTAGACGGTGTGTATTTAGAATCCAAAAAGGTGGGAATAAAGTTTTCAAGTTACCCTTATCCATGCTGTCACTGTTGCTGCGCCCTCACAGTTTTCTCTCTCGTTAACGGTTCTTCCATCACTGCTATGATAACCTGTACTTCATTTCACGACGTTGTTGTTCTTTGCTAGACTCGTAATCAGTCTGACTATGCGTCAATTTGAGATGATCATGATGACCACGAGCCTAAATGTCAACGCCTCAGTATTGTTCGCCAACTAGTACTGAGCTTTTCGTGAAAGATGTGTAGTCCAAGCTTGCCCTTTTTCGGGTTATTAACAAGTGGTCGTACCTCTCAATCTCTGCCTAGTTGCGCCCGAGTTTCAAGGTCCCAAGCTGAAATGAAATTTCTATATAAGGAATAAAAAAAACTCGGCATCCAATGGAGTGAACCGGTTACTGGTCATCGAAGCTTTCTGATATTGCAAATTTGAGATTCTGCACTTTAATTAGCATCCTTATGGTACAATAGCCTGATGACCATGCAACTGCCTCATCTACGTGAATTGCACAGATATCACCCATTTATCTCATTCGCACTATATAGTGCGAATGTTGTTGTCATACTAATCCACCAACTTTGCTTCTCATCCACACCCAATTCTTTGCCAATATGACTATCGTCTCTAATGATCCCGCTTGGTGGCCGACCATCAATGCACAACGCACTCATAGCTATTTTATGGGTTCGTGAGCAGTCGGATTTGATGCTGCCAATATTTCAATCTAACCTCTACTGCTGCCTTGCAGTTGCCGCCTTCGTTGGAATGACATATGATTGGGGTGAGCATGATGATATCCAAGGAATGCTGATTTCTTACAAGTACTTTCAGCACTCACATTTGGACAAGAGGTATGTCGATGCTATGACCGGAGCAGCCATCTCGCTGACAATGGTTTTATAGGTGGAATTGATCTGGGTGAGTAGAGTCTGGCGTCAGGGAAACACACGAAAATACATTTGAATCCAGAGACAACGCCGTTCCCTAATGAAAGTTTTGTATCTCAGTGCATGTATCTTATTTATCATGGTTGCCATGTCGTGCTGACTTGAAAGTATTTTAGGCGCGCTACCTTGGAATCTTATATGCTGCGTATGTTCGGAAGGCTACACAATCGGTGGCGTGCTACTAATTATCTATCTCTCATAATCAGCATGAACATGTTGGGTATGTCTCAGTACATTCGTTGCCTTTGCTTCTTCTGACCAATGGCATTCAGTGAGTGTTCCGACCATCTTGCTGTCAGATACAGTGAGTCTTCTGCACATATCACTGCCATTACCTCCAATTAATCGCACTGCCCTGTAGGAGTGGGTGTGGTTCTTTACCAACTTACTGGGTCACTAATGACCGTCGTACTGTTCTGCCACAGATGTAAGTCTGTTTGGAGTGTGTGCTACCTGCTGGTCACTCACTGGATTCGTCAGGCTTTATTATAAACACCGTATGTAATTGGACGGTTATTGTAGTATATGCGATGCTGCAGGGTGAGCATGGCACTAGAAAGGCCTCAGCGATTTTGAGTTGACTGAAACATGCTGCAAGTTATCATGATCACTCGGCTTGTATGCCATGTATCAGCGATCCAGAAAAATCCTGATATTTCTCATTGTCACCTTCTTGGCTGTCAGCATTTTTGACGGGATGGCCACTATTATGGTGACAATGCAGGTTTCAGGGGGTGAGTTTAATTGTGGATGAAAATCAATGTGCATGGGACTCATTGATGAATACCAGAGGAATTCATTCTCTCCGGCACTTATCAGTGCCAGATCGACTATCCGGAGGATATCCTACTTCTTTTGTCTGCTACTTGGATACTCGGCATTGTGTGGGAGGTCGTCGCGCTATGTCTCGCAGTCTGGATCGCAGTACAACACTTCCGTGAACTGCGACAACATTCGGCAGGAGGGATTATAAGGGACTGTTTCACGGTGTTGATAAAGAGTCACGTGGTTCACTTTGCGAGGTAAGCTCGTTGTGATTATGGTTCCTGTGTTTCCACTGAAGGATCGGACGTGGTAGCTTTGTTGTTGTTTCTTGCTTCGAGCTCATTTTTGATTTCACTCCAACATTATCAACGGTATGTCAATCTTCCACTTGCCTATGCACGCTACCACAATTTATCGTTTCTATAGAAGAGTTCCCCGGACGCTTACTCTATTATTTCTGGGGTTCTTCGGATTCTCGAGGTCGTGCAGATGTGTGTGCTGGGACCGCGCCTGATCCTTGGCGTTCGAGAATACCACGCTAAGCTCATTGCCGATGCCGACGCAGCGACTGCTATGACCTCAATCGCTTTACAGGAGCGTGTGCATATATCGACTAGCAGTGGTGTGTGATCCTTGATGAAGTGAACGGTCGTTTACTGCTCTGCAAGGAGCTGAATCATCTGTTTTTATTAATTCCCACTTTCATGAAGGTATTGATCGGTGTCCCGAAGTAGATTTCAAGGATACATACAAAGTTTTCGTTGTATTACTATTTAATCTAGTAATTTGCTATACGTGCTGACGATGTTTAAATCAATATCCTCAATATCTCTGTATACTGGTACTAGCTGCTCACCCACACTTGTACCAACCACTCGTCCTTTTCTCTATGCGATGACAATCATTCACATGATTGCTTAGGCAGCGCGCGCGAGTAGAGTTATCTGACAGCGCACCGCTTCAGTTCCTCAGCAATCTATCCTCGATTCATTTGCTCGCCTCATTCAATGTCCCACCCTTGCTTGCTCACCTAACTCACACCGACTAGCTTGCAGATGATGATCCATTCAAGGTGATTACAAGGTGCGCGAAGCACGTTCGTGCATGCATAGCTTGATGACGTGAGGGGTACTTGATGAGTCTTGAGGCTGAAGCTGGCTATTGCTTGTGGACGAGCTTGCCTTTCACTTTTGTCCGATGAGGTGGAAATACGGATACGAATATAAATATGTTTGAGATCGTTGCTGAAACACTACCGGAAAATTCACGTACCATTTCAAGCATTGGGATATGCAGGCCATGATTCTTTAACTGAGACCAGCACCTCTGTGGAGTCAGGCGAGTTTGAAACAATTTAGAGGGCCAACTCGAATGCCTGGAAGTCGCACACCAAACACAAAATAGCCGACGTTCAAAATGGTGACAGCAACGCACCCGGGAACGGACAGGCATCAGCACCAGCGGTAGTGCAGGAGTCGAGCATCTGCTGCTTGATGTCGGGTTGCGGACGTGATGGCGAGTTCGAGACAGTGAGAGAGGTGAATCTCTCGTTGTAGCTGACAGAACCAGAAAAGTCAGCCGTCAACAATAGGGAGATTCGCATAAAGGAGCAAATTCGCATCGTACTCTGGCTCCCAGCGAGCATACGTCTAAATGTCTCATTTCGCTCTTAGGTAATCTGTTGCTTCATGCGCACCCTTTCGCTCTCCACGTCGGAAATTGAGCTACCGTATCAGAGCGTCGAGAGAGCAGATGAGAGAAAATGATGCTCAGATGCACAATGGCTGAAGGCGGTAAAATTCTGTTGGCACACTATCAGAAAGTTGGAGATTTGAAGAAGTTGAGGGAATAACTCACCGGGTCATACAGCTGCCAATGCACACCATCAACGCTCATTCCAATGAAAACCGATCCAAAATGTGCCAGACTGAATCCATCATGCAGTTGATGCCCTTCTGTTCACTCACATTGGGAATGTAGATTGAAACGCCCTCTATATTTCGCATGAACAAGCTACTATAACGACGCCGGAGACTACACCGACACCTCAGAACTCAGGTTGACGATCAAGAATTCGAGACTTGAGAATGTTTGTGGCATTAGAGTCCTTGCATACTACCAGATTCCGATTCTGTATAGGTTTGCTTAGCAAAAAAACAATCGAAAAAGGATGGGACGCTCACCGTGAATGTAGATGTGAACAAAAGTCAATCAGCTCTACGATTTCATCAGGTGACCTTGGTTAGGCTTTGAAAGAGTGGGATACCATGCATCCGTGGCTAAGGACTAAGTACTTAGTAGATACTCACTTCGATTTGAATTTTGGATGTTAGCATACCCAGGTGTGGACCGTGTGAATAACATACAAATCACGCTTCGTTACCAACATCAATATTATTACCACAGGACACTCAATGGGACTTACCGGTCGTTTCAGCCATTCCGACAGTGCGTCACTGCGCCCTCACGTCTCCAACCACTACCTTCACTTTCACGACGAACGATGTCTTCTTCCTCTGGAAACACTTGAAAACACGCCTGCCTACTAGCGGGCCAGCGTATGACTTTGAACAACTCAAAGGGAAGGTTGTCTTGATTGTCAATGTTGCATCGAAGTGGTGAGTCGGTAACTATGGTAGACCTACGAGGGATCACTCTTCAGAACCTCCAGTGGTTTCACTCCCCAATACAAAGGTGCACTCTATAGTTCTCGAAGTTGATATGCGACTGACTGACAGGACAATACTCACCGTGCTCTGATTTGTAGCGTCTTTCCAGAGAGCCAGCTCCCATCGAGTGGGAGCGCCTCAGAGTGAACGCATCAAGAGTGCGCCGGCTTGTTAGCATCGATGGCTTCACTGACGCACAGAAGCTACCTCGCGGTCCAGTGCTTAGGCGGCGCACAGATGGCATTGGTAGTGCCCTGGATCTATTTTGCCCTATCCTGCGCCCAGATGTCATTGGTCATGTCCTGAAGAGGCTGTTCGAGCAGTTCCCCCCTACCACACTCTTCCCGAACCTTTGCGAATTGCATTTCGAGGCCGTGTTTGGTCTTCTGGAGCGTAAGTCAAAATTCTGGCTGCTTTGCCAGATCATTTCGCTTGGATTGCAAGCGCTCCGGTTTGATGTAACTGGCATCCCAACACATGAGGTAGAGCAATTGTTTGCTGCTCTGCCCACCGAAGCACATGGTCTGCGCCAATTGTCAGTATCGGCAGGCAATGGTACCACGGCTTTGACAGTCCCCCCGAGTCTCGGAAAGCTTCCAAAGTTGATGAGACTGGCCATTTTTGGAATCGATGGGGCCTTGACGAGGCAGACGATCACCAATATCCAACAAGCACGGTATCTTCAGACCCTCAAGCTCAATTTGTGCGGAACCTCCTGCGATGCGAGTGGTATACCCCTTGAATTGCCTAGTCTCGAAACCCTCTATCTCTCTAGGGGTTCCTTGTCACAGTGCACGCACTTCGTTCGTCAAGTCACCACCCGACAACTATCACACATCAATATCAGCTATCGCGGATCTGCTAGCCCGCCCGAAGTCACCGCATTCGTGGAATCCTTATCAACGTCGTGTCAAACTCTTGAACATTTGGAACGGATCTACGTGGTCGACACATCAGAACATCCTGATTATCTGCTCGTCATCCCAATCCACTCCGAAAGCTTCCGACCCTTGTTCAAGTTCAAGAGGCTGTCGTCTGTCAAATTCATTGGCATTGGAAATTTCGAACTTGACGATAGGTTTCTCAATGATATCCCAGTTGTCTGGCCGAGCATTCAGGAATTGAAGCTCATATCCTGGAAGAGACGGGCCTTTTATAGCGTCACCTTCACCGCCATGATGTCACTGGCGTCAAGGTGCAGATCGCTGCGTACCCTACATCTGACGGTGGATGCTACGCAATCGACAACAATTCCTCGAGCACCGGACGGGACCGAGGAGCTTTGGCCTATGCACACCACCCTTCGCAACCTGCATCTTGGGTACTCCCGGTGTCGGAAGTTGCACGCGTACCATATTTTCTAGCCGAGGTATTTCCAACTCTATGGGGTTTCAAATTTTACGAGCGTTATTTGAGGAATTGCGCTGCCGATATTGATTTGCGATTAGCATTGGAGGAAGCACATTCACAACTAATGGCGCTTCGGAACTCCCCTTACGACAATTCGGATAAGCTATGGGAGACCGATTCAGACGACAGTGGGACGTGAGAAGCGTAGGAGTGGATGTTCCATTGTAACGCTTGTATCTAGACTAGAGTGATATAGCTGCTGTGTACGTCTATTCCATCATGCTTGTATTCCTGGTATTGGTATACTATGTCTGACAGCAGCAACACTGTGACCTCGGAAAAAGTAACTCACACTGTGCACTGGCTTGCATTTATTGCCACCACACCGTTTCACTGAGCTTAGCAACAACCCACACTGACTCGTACCTAGTAGACTCTAAACTATTCTAGGTGCATAATACCAGCGTTATTCCAAAGCTTCACTGAAACTCTAGCGAACTTAATAAAGTACATTCATAGCTATTATCGTACTAATGCAGTGCCCTCAACATGCACCTGCAAAAAATCCGAACCAGCAGCAGCCATGCCTGTGTCTGGACCACATGCACCAGTCACGGCAGTCGCATTTTCACAATGCCCGAAATGTCTATATAAGGAATACAAAAACTCAAAACATTACCGGTCGTCGACCACATAGCAAGTTTCCGCATACATTTACATAATGAGCATCCTTATGGTACGACAGCTTGATGATTATGCAACTGCCTCATCTACGTGAACTGCACAGATACCACTCCTTTATCTCATTTCGCACTGGATGGCGGTATCCATATATAGTGCGAATATGATTGTCATACTCATCTACCAAGTTTGCTTCTTATTCACACCCAATTCTCTACCAATATGACTACAGTCCCAGATGATCCGGCTTTGTGGCCGACAATTAATGTAAATCGTATTTTCAGCTATTTTACAGGTTCGTGGAGAGCACTCGGATCCAATATTTCAATCTAACCTCTACTGCTGCCTTGCAGTTGCAGCCTTCGTTGTAGTAACATATGATTGGGGTAAGCATGATGATATCCAAGGACTGCTGATCTCACAAGTACTTTCAGCAACTACATTTGGACAAGAGGTATGTCGATGCTATCACCGGAGCCGCCATCTCGCTGAGAATGGTTTTATAGGTGGAACTGATCTGGGTGAGTACAGTCTAGTGTCAAAGGAACACACGAATATACATTTGATTCCAGAGACAACGCTGGTCCCTAATGACAGTTTTGTATCTCAATGCATGTACCTTATTCGTTATTGTTGCCATGTTGTGCTGACTTGAGAGTATTTTAGGCGCGCTACCTTGGAATCTTATCTACTGCGTATGTTCGGAAGGCTACACAATCGGTGTCGCACTAATTGTCTATCTCTTACAATCAGCGTGTACATGTTGGGTATGTCTCAGTGCGTTCGTTGTATTTGCTTCTGACCAGTGGCATTCAGGGACTGTTCCGACCATTTTGCTGTCAGATACAGTGAGTCTTCTGCACATATAACTGCCATTCACTCCAATTAACTATAGTGCCATGTAGGAGTGGGTGTGGTTCTTTCACTGATGACTATCGTGCTATACCGTCACAGATGTGAGTCTGTTTGGAGTGTGTGCTACCCGAGGCTGGTCACTTATTGGATTTGTCAGGCTTTAGGATATCCATAGTATGGTATTGGACGGTTACTGTGGTAGTTGCGATGCTGCAGGGTGAGCTTGGCACTTGCGAGACCTCGGTGATTTTGACTTGACTGAAACATGCTGCAAGTCATCATTATCACACGGTTGCATGCCATGTATCAACGATCCAGAAAAATCCTGATATTCCTCATTGTCATCTTCCTGGCTTTCAATATTTTCAACGGAGTAGTCACCGTATTGATGACTATGCATATTTTGGAGGGTACGCTTAATTGTGGATGAAAAAAAACGTGCTTGATGCTCATTGATGAATACTAGTGGGACCCATTCTCTCCAGCACTTATCAGTGCATGCTTGCCTCTGAGAGTGTGGTCCTGAATGATCTATCACTCCTGTATACTATTTCTTTGACACTGTTGATCGTGTTGGAGGTCGTCGCGCTATGTCTCGCAGTCTGGATTGCGCTAAAACACTTCCGTGAACTTCGACAATATTTGGCAGGAGGGATTATAGGGAACTATTTCACAGTGTTGATAAAAAGTCACGCGGTTCACTTTACGAGGTAAGCTCATATCGTGATTATGGTTCCTGTTTTTCCACTGAAGGATCGGGTGTGGTAGCATGGTTGTCATTTCTTGCATCATGTTCGCTACTTCCTTGGTAACGGTATGTCAATCTTTCACTTACCTATGCATGCTACTACAATTTATCGTCTCTATAGGATTCCCTGTACACTCAGATTATTCTTGGCTTCGTCCAGATTTTGCAGGCCATGCAGATTGTTGTGCTGGGACCGCGCCTGATCCTTGGCATTCGAGAATACCACGCTAAGCTCGTTGCCCATGCCGACGCAGCGACTGTTATGACCTCGATCGCTCTCCAGGAACGTGTGCATATATTGACTGGCAGTGGCGTCTGATACTCGGTGAAGTTCACAGTCGGCTAGTGCTCTGCAAGGAGTAGGATAATTTGTTTTTATTTATTCCCACTTTCTGGTATTATTTGGTATCCCGAAGTAGATTCCAAGGAGATATATAAAAGTTTTCGTAATATTATTTAATCAAGTGATTTGCTATACGTGCTGACAATGTTTATATTTTAATCAATATCTTCAATATCTCTATATACTGGCTTGATGACGTGAGGGATGAGTCTTGAAGCTGAAGTTGGTTAATGCTTGTGGACGAGCTTGCCTTTCGCTTTTGTTCGACGAGGTGGAAATACGGACGTCGGATACGAATATAAATATAAATATGTTTAGGATCGTTGCTGAAGCACTACCGGGGGATCCATGCACCCTTTCAAGCATTGTGATATGAAGTCCATGAATCTTCAACTGAGACCCAGCGCCTCTGTGGAGTAAGGGGAGCGTGAAGTAATCCAGGGGGTTAACTTGAACGTCTGGAAATCGCACAGCAACCATAAAATAGCTGACATGGTTCAGATGGTGACAGCGACGCACCCAGGAACGGACATGCAGGCATCAGCACCAGCGATAGTGCAGGAGTCGAGCATCTGCTGCTTGATGTCAGGTTGCGGACGTGATGGCGAGTTCGAGACAGTGAGAGGTGAAATCTCTCGATGTAACTGCGGCATGACACCGAATCAGAAAAGTCAGCCGTCAAAAATAGGGAGATTCGCACGAAGAAGCAAATTCGCATCCTACTCTGGGTCCCAATACCTCCCAGCGAGCATACGTCTCAATGTCTCATCTCACCCTTAGGTCATCCATTGCTTCATGCGCACCCTCTCGCTCTCCACGTCGGAAATTGGGCCACCGTATCATCTGGATGCCAGAAATAATGAGCGCGTTTGTATCGTGGGGTTGGTGCGGTGGTAAGAGGCATCAGGTTTCACCAGAGACGTGAGACTCCGAGATTGATGTATGATGTACATCATCACTGCTATATCAAGAGAGCGTCGAGAGAGCAGATGGAAGAAAATGATGCTCAGATGCACAATAGCTGAAGGCGATAACATTCTGTTGGAACACCATCAGAAAGATGGTGATTTGAAGAAATTGAGGGAATAACTCACCAGGTCATACAGCACGCCACCAACGCTTATTCAAATGAAGACCGATCCAAAACGCGCCACACTAAATCCATCATGCAGTTGATGCCCTTCTGTTCACTCACATTGGGAATGTAGATTGAAACGCCCTCTATATTTCGCATGAACAAGCTACTATAACGACGCCGGAGACTACACCGACACCTCAGCACTCCGATTGACGATCAAGATTCGAGACTTGAGAATTCTTGTGGCATTGGAGTCCTTGCATGCTAACAGATTATACAAAGCCGGTTCTGTATGGGTGTGCTAAGCGAAAAACAATCGAAAAAGGATGGGACACTCACCGTGAATGTAGATGTGAGCAAAAGCCGATCAGCTGTACGATTTCATCAGGTGGCCTTGGTTAGGCTTTGAAAGAGCGGGATGACATGGCTAAGGACTACGTAATGCGTGAATTCAAGCTTCAAGCATGGTGCAACCAACACAGGCTGAACTTCAAGCACATCTCGCAGGGCAATCCTTACTCCTCATGAGGCTTGCAGCTGTGCTGGACGACAATGATGAAACGTGCAAGCTAATAATAGTGTAAATTTGTCTTATGATTAAGAACGAGATACACTTATAAAGGAGAACCTGTGCATGCTCATCAGATTCCCAAACCATCAGAAAGCAGTTATTATGGGTATGAGCTGAATATATATGCTCACGTCCCTGCTATTCAAACAGAACTTACCTGGGCCGCTCGCGCTAGCGATGGTTTCTCCTACATATACCGAACAACTCACATCAGAACGGAGTGCGCATTATTTATGAGTGTTGATAGATGCCGTGTATCTGCCGAACATTAGGCGATGACAGGTAAACTCCGCGAACTGAGCGCTAGCCCTAGTAGGCTAGTTATCACCGGTTCACAACGTTCACAACGTTCACCCCTTATCTCATTTTGCACTGGATGGCGGTATACATATATATAATGCGAATGTTATTGTCATACTAAATCTACCAAGTTTGCTTCTCATCCGCACCCAATTCTCTACTAATATGACTATAGTCTCAGATGATCCTACTTGGTGGCCGCTCATCAACGAAAGTCGAAATTTTAGCTATATTATGGGTTCGTAGAGAGCAGTTGATTTGATGCTGCCAATGTCTGAACGGTCTCGCAGTTGCCTCCTTCGTTGGATTGATATATGACTGGGGTGAGCATGATGATATCCAAGGACCACTGATTCTTACAATTGTTCTCAGCACTTACGTTTGGGGAAGAGGTATGTCGATGCTATGACAGGAGCAACCATCTCGCTGACAATGGTTTTATAGGTGGAATTGATCTGGGTGAGTAGAGTTTGGTATCAGAGGAACACACACCAAAATACATTTGATTCCAGAGACAACGTTGGTCCCTAATGACAGTTATGTATCTCAGTGCATGTAGCTTACTTCTCACTGTTGCCATGTTGTGCTGACTTATAAGTATTTTAGGCGCGCTACCTTGGAATCTTATCTACTGCGTATGTTCGGAAGGCTACACGATCGGTGTTGTGCTAATTGTCTATCTCTCATAATCAGCATGTACATATTGGGTATGTCTCAGTACATTCGTTGTCTTTGCTTCTTCTGACCAATGGCATCCAGGAAGTGTTCCGACCATCTTGCTATCAGATACAGTGAGTCTTCTGCATATATCACTGCCATTCCCTCCGATTAACCGTGGTGCCCTGTAGGAGTGGGTGTGGTTCTTTACTAACTTATTGGTTCACTAATGACTGCCGTGCTATACTGCCACAGATGTGAGTCTGTTTGGAGCGTGTGGTACCCGAGGCTGGTCACTCACTGGATTCGTCAGGCCTAATTTCGTACATGGTATGGTATTGGACAGTTCTTGTGGTATTTGCGATGCTGCGGGGTGAGCTTGGCACTTGCGAGGCCTCAGCGATTTCGACTTGACTGAAACATGTTACAAGTCATCATCATTGCTCGGTTGTATGCCATGTATCAAGGATCCAGAAAGATCCTGATATTCCTCATTGTCACCTTCCTGGCTATCAGCATTTTTGACGGGATGACCATCATAATGACGACGATGCGGGTTTCAGGGGGTGAGCTCAATTGTGGATGACAATAAATGTGCATGGGGCTCATTGATGAATACCAGAGGAATTCATTTTCTCCGGCACTTATCTGTGCGCGATGTACTATTTGGAATCGGATATCATGCCTCTTATGTCTGCTACTTGGATACTCAGCATCGCGTGGGAGGTCGTCGCGCTATGTCTCGCAGTCTGGATCTCAGTACAACACTTCCGTGAACTGCGACAGCATTCGGCAGGAGGGATTAGAAAGCACGACTGTTTCACGGTGTTGATACAAACTCACGTGGCTCATTTTGCGAGGTAAGCTCATTGTGAGTATGGTTCCTGTTTTTCCACTGAAGGATCGGACGTGGTAGCTTTGTTGCTGTTTCTTGCTTCACGCTCATCTCTTATCTTACTCCAATATTCTCAATGGTATGTCAATCTTCCACTTGCCTATCCACGCTACCATGATTCATCGTTTCTATAGTCCTATTCCCTGGACATTCAGATGTTTGTGGGGTTTTTTCAGATTTTGCAGGTCATACAGATTTCTGTGCTGGGACCGCGCCTGATCCTTGGCGTTAGAGAATACTACGCTAAGCTCGTTGCCGATGCCGACGCAGCTACTGTTATGACCTCAATCGCTTTCCAGGAGCGTGTGCATATATCGACTGGCAGTGGTGTGTGATCCTTGGTGAAGTTAAAAGTCGTCTAGTGCTCTGCAAGGAGCAGGATAATTTGTTTTTATTTATTCTTTCATGAAGGTATTGATTTGGTGCCCCGAGGTATATTTCAAGGAGACATACAAAGTTTTCGTTGTATTATTGATGTAATGAAGTGATTTGCTATACGTGCTGACAATGTTTAAATCAATATCCTCGATATCTCTATATACTGGTATTAGCTGCCCACCCACATTTGCATCAGCCGGTCTTTCTTTTCTCTGTGCGATGACAATCATTCACATGATTGCTCGGGCAGTGCGCGGGGGGAAAGTCGACTGGCAGCGCACTGCTTCAGTTCCTCAGCAATCCATCCTCGTTTGCTCGCCTCATGCAATGTCCCACCCTTTCTTTCTCACCTGAATCACACCGACTGGCTTACAGATGATGATCCATTCAAGGTGATTACAAGGTGCGCGAAGCACGTTCGTGCATGTGTAGCTTGATGACGTGAGGGATACTTGATGATGCTTGAGGCTGGAGTTGGTTAATGCTTGTGGACGAGCTTGCCTTTCACTTTTGTTCAACGAGGGGGAAATACGGATATGAATATAAATATGTTTAGGATCGTTGCTGAAGCACTACTGGGGGATTCACGTACCCTTTCAAGCACTGTGATATGAAGACCATAATTCTTTGACTGAGACCCAGCGCCTCTGTGGAGTCAGTGGAGTTCGAAGCAATCCAGGGGGCTCGCTTGAACGTCTGGAAATCGCACAGCAAACATAAAAATAACTGACGTGGTTCAAAATGGCGACAGCGACGCACCCAGGAACTGAGATGCAGGAATCGGCACCAGCGATAGTGTAGGAGTCGAGCATCTGCTGCTTGATGTTAGGTTGCAGACGTGATGGTGAGTTCGAGACAGTGAGAGGTGAATCTCTCGATGTAGCTGCGGCATGACACCGGACCAGAAAAGTCAGCCGTCAAAGATAGGGAGATTCGCGCGAAGAGGCAAATTCGCATCGTACTCTGGGTACCAATACCTCCCAGCGAGCATACGTCTCAATGTCTCATCTCACCCTTAGGTCATTCGTTGCTTCATGCACACCCTCTCGCTCTCCACCTCGGAAATTGGGCTAACGTATCATCTGGATGTCAGAAATGGTGAGCGCGGAATATTTGATTTGTATCGTGAAGTTGGTGCGGTGGCAGGTTTCACCAGAGACGTGAGATTCTGTGACTGATATATGATGAATATACAAAATCACCCCTATATAAAGAGAGCGTTGAAAGAGTAGATGAGAGAAAATGGTGCTCAGATGCACAATAGCTGAAGGCGATAACATTCTGTTGGCACACCATCAGAAAGTTGGTGATTTGAAGAAGTTGAGGGAATAACTCACCGAGTCATACAGCTATCAATGCACGCCACCAACGCTTATTCAGATGAAAACCAATCCAAAACGCGCCACACTGAATCCATCATGCAGTTGATGCTCTTCTGTTGACTCACATTGGGAATGTAGTTTGAAACGCCCTCTATATTTCGCATGAATAAGCTACTATAACGACGCCGGAGACTACACCGACACCTCAGAACTCAGGTTGACGATCAAGATTCGAGACTTGAGAATTCTTGTGGCATTGGAGTCCTTGCATGCTAACAGATTATACAAAGCCGATTCTGTATGGGTTTGCTTAGCGAAAACAATCGCAAAAGGATGGGACACTCACCGTGAATGTAGATGTGAACAAAAGTCGATCAGCTGTACGATTTCATCGAGTGGCCTTGGTTAGGCTTTGAAAGAGTGGGATGCCAGCATTGCATCCATGGCTGAGGACTAAGTACTTAGTAAGTACTCACTTCGATTTGAATTTTGGATGTTAGCATACCCAGGTGTGGACCGTGTGAATAACATACAAATCACGCTTCGTTACCCAATATTCCAACATCGATATTATTACCACAGGACACTCCATGGGACTCACCGGTCGTTTCAGTCATTCCGACAGTGCGTCACTGCGCCCTCACGTCTCCAACCACTATCTTCACTTTCACGACGAACAATGTCTTCTTCCTATGGAAACACTTGAAAACAGAGCTGCCTAGCGGGCAAGCGTATGACTTTGAACAACTCAAAGGGAAGGTTGTTTTGATTGTCAATGTTGCATCCAAGTGGTGAGTCGATAACTATGGTATACCTACGAGGGATTCACTCTTCAGAATATTCAGTGGTTTCATTCCCCAATACAAAGGTGCACTTTATAGTTCTCGAAGTTGATATGCGACTGACTGACAGGACAATACTCACCGTGCTCTGATTTGTAGCATTCTTCCAGAGAGCCAACTCCCACCGAGTGGGAGCGCCTCGGAGTGAACGTATCAAGAGTACGCAGACTTGTAAGCATCGATGGCTTCAATGACGCAGCGAAGCTATTTCGCGGTCCAGTGCTTAGGCGGCGCACAGATGGCATTGGTAGTGCCCTGGATCTATTTTGCCCTATCCTGCGCCCAGATATCATTGGTCATGTCCTGAAGAGGCTTTTCGAGCAGTTCCCCCCTACCACACTCTTCCCGAACCTTTGCGAATTGCATTTTGAGGCCGTGTTTGGTCTTCTGGAACATAGCTCAAAATTCTGGCTGCTTCGGCAGTTCATTTCGCCTAGATTGCAAGCGCTCCGGTTTGATGTAACTGGCATCCCAATGCATAAGTGGAGAAATTACTTGCTGCTCTTCCCGCAGAAGCGCACGGTCTGCGCCAACTGACAGTATCGTCGGGCAATGGTACTACGGCTTTGACAATCTCCCCGAGTCTTGGAAAGCTGCCGAAGTTGATTAGACTGGCCATTTTCGGAATCGATGTGTCCTTGACGAGGCAGACGATCACCAATATCCAGCAAGCACGATGTCTTCATATCTTCAAGCTCAATTTGTGCGGAGCCTCCTGCGATGCGAGTGGTATACCCCTTGAATTGCCTAGTCTCAAAACCCTCTATCTCTCTGAGGGTTCCTTGCCACAGTGCACGCACTTCCTTCGTCAAGTCGCCACCCGACAACTATCGCACATCAATATCAGCTATCGTGGATCTGCTAGCCCGGCCGAAGTCACCGCGTTCGTGGAATCCCTGGCGACGTCGTGCCAATTTTTGAACATTTGGAACGGATCTATGTGATCGACAAATCAGAGCATCCTGATTATCTGCTCGTCATCCCACTCCACTCCGAAAGTTTCCGGCCATCGTTCAAGTTCAAGGGGCTGTCGTCTGTCAAATTCATCGGCATTGGAAATTTCGAACTTGACGATAGTTTCCTCAATGATGTCCCAGTTGCCTGGCCGGGTATCCAGGAATTGAAGTTCATCTCCTGGAAGAGACGGGCCTCTTATAGCGTCACCTTCACCGCCATGATATCATTGGCGTCAAGGTGCAGATCGCTGCAGACCCTACATCTGACGGTGGATGCTACGCAATCGACGACGATTCCTCGAGCCCCGGGCGGGACCGAGAAGCTTTGGCCTACGCAAACCACCCTTCGCAACCTGCATCTTGGGTACTCCCGGGTGTCGGAAGTTGCACACATACCATATTTTCTGGCCGATGTATTTCCAACTCTATGGGATTTCAAATTTTACGAGCGTTACGTGAGGAATTGCGCTGCCGATATTGATCTGCGATTAGCACTGGAGGAAGCATATTCGCAACTAATGACGCTTCGGAACTCCCCTTACGACAATTCGGATAAGCTATGGGAGACTGATTCAGACGACAGTGGGACGTGAGAAGCGTAGGAGTGGATGTTCCATCGTAACACAATCGAGGCTGTATTTTGTATTTAGACTAGAGTGATATAGCTGCTGTATACGTCTACGCTGTCATGCTTGTATTCCTGATGTTGGTATATGTCTGAAAGCAGCAACACCGTGACTGTGACCTCGAAAAGAGCAACTCACGCCGTGCACTGGTTTGCATTTATTGCCACCGCTCACTGGGCTTACGCTGAGAGTTACGGCTGCGCACGATACACCCTGTATTTGAGATTTCGTTCATGCTAGATGCATGAGAAGTCCTGTCTTTAACTTGACCGTCCACCAAGGCAACGCCATCATGGAGAACCGAGTGATGCGAGCCTAGTGCACGATGAATATGTTTTCAAACAAAACAACAGGACCAGGCGGGCGCATCAGTAAACCGGTGAGTTCTTGCTGGGGATTATGCTGATTATGGTGCTTTTACATAGTCATATATTGCTTTATACTATCCCTTCCACTGCAATCGGCACCCCACAGAAGTCGGCAGTCACGCAAATGTCACTGTGAGTCATGATATGTCACGTAGGCCAATTTTAAAGTCAGTTCGGCAGTCAAGCAAGTGGGCAAGGTCAATTAGTATTCGTTCGAATGAGCAAGTATAGTATTGAATAGTAGATATACCTAAGTACGAGGGCGACTGTTATTAGTGCCGTAGTTGTAAAATCGAGGTGGATATATAGGGAGACCATGTGCATTGTAACATGACGAAACACGACTCACATTCTGTTCTTTTGCTGCAGTATAACCCATTTGCAATTCTCTGAATTGAAACCTGAATGCGTGGCTCATATGTCGGGTCTGACGAAGCTCGCAGCTTTCCTCGTCTACCGCTGCTAACTTAAACTTGCGAATGCGGACGCGCAGCGCTGCACCAGTCGGCACTTCCAAAGTGGGGGTGCAATTTGAAACTCCGTCATGGCATGTATCGGCAGGTGACATTTCCGCGTGACTTCGGCACTTTCGACTATCTCACTCAATTCTGCTTTAATCGTGGTCGTTCAACCTCGTAATGAGTTGTATTAGAGAGAGAATGATACAGATGTTAAGAATTTTGTGTTTAAGTAGCTAGAAATACGAGTTTTGTGAAAGTGCCGACTTCTGTGGGGTGCCGATTGCAGTGGAAGGGATAGTATCACTTTATATTCCAATGTGACGAAAACCTTTCCTATATATTACGATATATAACGATATATGACGATATCTTCTTCTCACAGGTTCGTTCTCTGATGGCCCGCCACGCGGAAGCGCTCACCTGCCAAGGCTCGCCCGTTGTCTGGTCTGTTAGACGGCGTGTATCCAGAATCCAAGGAAGGGTGGGAATAAAGTTTTCAAGTTACCCTTCTACGTACTGATCGTTATCTATGCTGCGCCCTCACAGTTTTCTCTCTTATTAACGGTTCTTTCCTCACTGCTATGACAACCTGTGCTTCATTTCCCGACGACGATGTTCTTCGCAAGAAGAAATTTAGGTGATATCACTGATTCATCGTATATAGCATCACCAGCACTATGGAGCCTCCATTATCTTGCGCCTTTGATGCAATACGTTCCACTCACTTCTCGCACCATATGACACATGTGAGCCACTCCGGATCCGGTACTAAGCGATACCGTCGTGCCCCATGTCGACGCCTCAGTATTGTTCGCTAACAACTAGTACTGAGCTTTTCGCTAGTGCACGTGTAAAAGGTATGTAGCCCAAGCTTGCCTTTCTTCGGGTTGTCCACATGTATTAACAAGTGGTCGTACCTCCCATACTCGTCTGCTTGGGAAGAGTTGGCACTCCGATAGGCATGGTCCCAAGTTGACTATATAAGGAATACAAAAACTTGGCATCAAACGGAGTGAACGTTACGACTCTCATGACCGCATTGCAAATTGAAGATTCTGCACTAGTACCATTTTCATCAGCATTCTTATCATAACAGCCTGATGACCATGCGACTGCATCATCTACTCGGATTGCACAGGTATCACCCGTTTATCTCATTTCGCACTATATAGTGCGAATGTTATTGTCATACTAATGTACCAAGTTTTCTTCTCATCCACACCCAGTTCTCTACCAATATGACTATATTTTCTAATGATGCCGCTTGGTGGCCGACCATCAATGCACATCGTTCTTCTAGCTATTTTATAGGTTCGTAGAGAGCAGTCGGATTTGATGCTGCCAATATTTCAATCTAACCTCTACTGCTGCCTTGCAGTTGCCGCCTTCGTTGGAATGACATACGATTGGGGTGAGCATGATGATATTCAAGGACTGCTGGTTTCTTACAAGTACTTTCAGCACTTACATTGGGACAAGAGGTATGTCGACGCTACGAACAGAGCAGCCATCTCGCTGAGAATGGTTTTATAGGTGGAACTGATCTGGGTGAGTAGAGTCTGGCGTCATAGGAACACACGAAAATACATTTGATTCCAGAGACAACGTTGGTCCCTAATGACAGCTCTGTATCTCAGCGCACGTACCTTATTTGTCACGGTTGCCATGTTGTGCTGACTTGAGAGTATTTTAGGCGCGCTACCTTGGAATCTTATCTGCTACGTATGTTCGGAGGGCTAGTACACAATCGGTGTCGTGCTAATCGTCTATCTCTCATAATCAGCATGTGTATGTTGGGTATGTCTCAGTACATTCGTTGTCTTTGCTTCGTCTGACCAATGGCATTCAGAGAGTGTTCCAACCATCTTGCTGTCAGACACAGTGAGTCTTCTGCACATATCACTGCCATTCCCTCCAATTAACCGTAGTGTCCTGTAGGAGTGGGTGTGGTTCTTCAATAATTTATTAGTTCACTAATGACTGTCGTGCTATACTGCCACAGATGTGGGTCTTTTTGGAGTGTGCGCTACCCGAGGCTGGTCGCTCACTGGATTCGTCAGGCCTAATTTCGTACATGGTATGGGATTGGACAGTTGATGTGGCATATGCAATGCTGTCGGGTAAGCTTGACACTTGCGAGACCTCAGCGGTTTTGACTTGACTGAAACATGCTGCAAGTCATCATCATCACTCGGTTGCATGCCATGTATCAGCAATCCAGAAAAATCCTGATGATTCTCATTGTCACCTTCCTGGCTGTCAGCATTCTTAACGGAGTGACCACCGTAATGACGACGATGCGGGTTTCAGAGGGTGAGCTTAATTGTAGATGGAAATCAATGTGCATGGGGCTCATTGATGAATTTCAGAGGGATTCATTCTCTCCGGCACTCATCAGTGCCAGATTGACTATACGAAAGATATCCTACTTCTTATGTCTGCTACTTGGATACTCGGCACCGCGTGGGAGGTCCTCGCACTGTGTCTCGCAATCTGGATTGCGGTAAAACACTTCCGTGAACTGCGGCAACATTTGGCAGGAGAGATTATAAGCGGCTGTTTCACGGTGTTGATAAAAAGTCACGTGGTTTACTTTGCGAGGTGAGCTCATGCTGTGATTATTGTTCCGTTTTACCACTGAAGTGTCGGACATGGTAGTTTTGTTGTTGTTTGTTGCTTCGAGCTCATTGTTGATTTCACTCCAGTATTCTCAACGGTATGTTAATCTTCCACTTACCTATGCACGCTACCATAATTTATCGTTTCTATAGGACAATTTACTGGACACTTATATTATTTCTGGGGTTCTTCAGATTCTCAGGGTCGTGCAGATGTTTGTGTTGGGACCGCGCCTGATCCTTGGCATTCGAGAATACCACGCTAAGCTTGTTGCCGATGCCGACACAGCGACTGTTATGACCTCAATCGCTTTCCAGGAGCGTGTGCATATATCGACTGGCAGTGGTGTGTGATACTTGGTGAAGTTAACAGTCGTCTAGTGCTCTGCAAGCAGTAGGATAATTTGTTTTTATTTATTCCCACTTTCATGTATTATTTGGTGTCCCCAAGTAGATTCCAAGGAGACATACAAAGTTGTCATTATTTAATCAAGTGATTTGCTATACGTGCTGACAATGTTTAAATTGATATCCTCAATATCTCTATATACTAGTACTAGCTGCCCACCCACATTTGCATCAACCACTGGTCTTTCTTTTCTCTGTGCGATGACAGTCATTCACATGATTGCTTGGGCAGGGTGCAGGAGGAAAGTCGACTGACAGTGCACTGCTTCAGTTCCTCAGCAATCCATCCTCGATTCATTTGCTCGCATCGTTCAATATCCCACCCTTGCTTTCTCACCTGAATCACACCGACTGGCTTATGGATGATGACCCATCCAATGTGATTACAAGGTGAGCAAAGCATGTTCGTGCATGCATAGCTTGATGACGTGAGGAATGAGTCTTAAGGCTGAAGCTGGTTAATGCTTGTGGACAAGCTTGCCTTTCACTGTCATTTGATGAGGTGGAAATACGGATACCAATATAAATATGTTTGGGATCATTGCTGAAACACCACTGGGGAATTCATGTACCCTTTCAAATATTGTGATATGAAGACCATGGTTATTTAACTGAGACTTAGCACCTCTGTGGAGTTGAGGGAGTTTGAAGCAATCCAGGGGGCTCACTTGAACATCTGGAAATCACACAGCAAACATAAAATAACTGACATGGTTCAAAATGGTGACAGCAACACACCCAGGAATGAACATTCAGGCATCAGCACCAGCGATAGTGCAGGAGTTGAGCATCTGCTGCTCGATGTCAGATTGCAGATGTGGTGGTTTGAGACGGTGAAAGGTGAATCTCTTGATGCAGCTGTGGCATGACGCCGGACCAGAAAAGTCAGCCATCAAAAATAGGGAGATTCACATGAAGAAGCAAATTTGCATCCTACTCTGGGTACCAATACCTTGCAGCGAGCATGCATCTCAATGTCTCATCTCACCCTTAGGTCATCTGTTGCTTCATGTGCACCCTCTCACTCTCCATGTCAGAAATTGGGCTACCGTATCATCTGGATGCTATAAATGGTGAGCTGATTTGTATCATGGAGTTGGTACAGTGGTAAGAGGCATCAGGTTTCACCAGAGATGTGAGATTCAGTGATTGATGTATGAAGATATATCATCACCC